CTGTTAAGCTGACTGGTGGTTCATCCGGTTTTCAGGGTGGCTCCCTGACAGTGCCTGCCTTTGGGGGGTGAGGAGGACCAGGCTAGGCCACCAGAGACGACCACTCAGCAGAAAGTTGTTTTCCAATGCACTCCTAGAAACATCATCATATTGCAGATGCTGCAGTTTACTATGCTACAGTTGTTGGGTTGTTTGGGGGGACTTTCAGAGGGTCTTTAGTAATAAAATACCTGTAACATCAAATGAATCATTTGAAATGTTTTTAAGTGGCATTAAGTACATTCACATTGTGTGACCATCCCCACCATCCATCCCAGAATTTTTCATCTTTCCAAACTGAAACTCTGTCCCATCAGACACTAACTCCCCATTCCCCCCTCCCCCATGACCAGCCCCTGCTACCCATCATCCTACTTTCTATTTTTATGAATCTGGCTTTTCTAGGTACATGATACAGGTGGAATTATACAGTGTCTGTCCTTTTGTGACTGGTTTATTTCACTTATAATGTCATCAGGGTTTATCCATGTTGTCACATATGTTAGAATTTCCTTCCACTTTAAGGCTGGATAATATTCCTCACATGTATAGACCACACGTCCCTTTATCCATTCATTTGCCAATGGACATTTGGATTGTGCTCCCACCTCTTGGCTTTTGTGAGTAATCCTGCAATGAACATAGATATTCAAATATCTTTTTAAGTTCCTGCTTCCAATTCTTTTGGGTATATACCCAGAAGTGGGATGCTGGATTATATGGTAATTCCATGTTTAATTTGTTGAGGAACCACCACACTATTCTCCACAGCAGCTGCACCATGTTACTTTCCCACCCACAGCACAAAGTGTAGTAATATCTTCACCCCCTCACCAATGCTTGTTTTCTGTTTTTGCTTTTTATAATTATTTTTTAAAGATTTTATTTACTTATCTCAGAAAGAGTAAGCATGAGCAGGGGGAGAGGCAGAGGGAGAAGCAGCCTCCCCACTGGGCAGGGAGCCCAGTGCAGGTCTCAATCTCAGGACCCTGGGATCATGACCTGAGCCAAAAGCAGACACTCAACCAGGTGAGATGCCCAGGCGCCCCTCTTTTGCTTTTTATAGTAGCCATCCTAATGAGTGTGAGGTGGTACAGGCTAGTTACCCCTTTTTTTAAAGTTGACTGTACACCCAGCATGGAGCCCAATTTGGGGAATGAACTCATGACCCTGAGATCAAGACCTGAGCTAAGATCAAGAGTTGGATGCTTAACCGACTGAGCCACCCAGGCACCCCTAGCTGTGCTTGTTTCATCTTATTTTTGCAGATGTTATTTATAACTTGTGGCTCTTCTGGTCATCATCATTCCTTGCTCTTCGCTCTATTTACCCCCAGCACCCCAAACAGGAACATGAACTGTCCTCTCAAAATTATGCCTGGTGGCTGCATCCCACGTTCCCAAAGGGCTCAGAACCTCACAGGGAAATGTGCTGGATGAAGCTCTGCACTGGGAGCCGAGGGGCCTGGGGACAGCCCCAGGCCTGCCCCTCCACAGGTCTGTGACCATGAACAAGTCACTTCCCTTCTGGGCTTGCTTCCTGTCCATTAAAACTGAAACAATACTGATGCCTTAATTCCCTTACAGAATCAGAGCCCTAGAGATAGAAAGGCTCTTGGAAAGTCTACAGCAATAGCAAAACCTCTGGGTTTGTCAAGATTTAAAAAAACAAAAACAAAAACAAAACAAAACAGAAGAGAATAGGGGTGGGCCCCTGCTTCTTAGTAATGCACGTAGGCAATCTCGGAGCTCAAGTTCATGGAAACAAATTGAATTACGTAGGAGGCAGCTCTGCCATTTGCAACCATGGATTGTTTGAAATCCTTTTAGAAGAAAATTAAAATATTTCACAGAGGATAATAAAATGCCGGGTATTCTGCTCAGCTCTCTTGTGCTAGTAAGTAATTAGGCATTTTTATTTAAGTCCTCCATGTTGTCATTTTCTTTCATTAATGGAGAGGAGAGAAAAACTATTGTGGAAAAGAAATAAAATTCTGGAAATCACCGGAAGGTTAATTATAAAAATGTAGGAAAAATTAAAAGTAAGTAAATAGGGGCGCCTGGGTGGCTCAGAAGTTTGAGTGTCCAACTCTTGATTTCGGCTCAGGTCGTGATCTTGGGGTTGTGCTCAGTGGGGAGTCTGTGTAGGATTCTCTCTCTCCCTCACCTTCTGCCCCTCCCCCTGCATGTACACTTGCACTCTCACTCTAGTAAATAAACAAACGTTTTTTAAAAAAGTAGAAGTAAATAAATACATAGTTTCTTAAAGCACAACATAACACCATACTACAGAGACAAAGGGAAGTGCTTCAAATTTATTTTTGCAAACATGAGAAATGGGAGGCTGCACCAAAAGTTTCTTTGCTCCCAAATCTAATCCCACCAAAGAGCTCAGGAGTGGGGAGCCTTCCAAGGCCGGTGGTGCTGGAGACATAGTTCTGTATGGCATGGGAACAGGCCAGAGCTATGTCCAATCACTGTCCTGTTGCCTACACGGCTGGTCCATGCCAGAATCTTCCTGACCCCACCTTCTGCCTGTCTGGGAAGTCCTTTTGAGCAGTATGATGGAAGCTGAGGGTGAGGATGCAGAGTTCTGGACAAGGCTGGTCTGAGACCCACAAAAAGCCACTAATAGAAGGGGGCTCTTGGGAGTTGGTAGCACAGACATGTTTGTAGGTAGATATTCCTCTTCTAAATCTCTCTGGGGTTTGGGTTTATCTGCAGTGACTTTTGCCATTCCCAAAGCCACCTCCACCCGAGATGCTGCATTGTAATTTTATGCAAGGAGATATGCACATGTGCGGGGATACAGGTGGGACGTGAGTTCACCTGCCAATATGAACCTCCCACAACCTCCGGCTAATCCTGCCATTAGCTCATATGGAGGTGTCTTGTTCTTGCCTGTTAATCTGTGCCTCTCCCACCACTCTGGTCTGCATGGAACCATCCAGCCAACAATTAGTAAATGCCTACTGTGTGCTGGGCTGATCCTGAGAAACTAGAGAGGAAAAGAATACAATAACTGTTTACTCAGAGGGGAGTAAGCAGTATTCAAAGACACAGAGATATTTGAGCTGGCACTTAAAAAAGCAAGGAGGAATTTGCCTGGCAGGGAAAGAGGGAAGGAACAGCAGAGGCAAAAGCACAGAAGCATGAAACAGCTCACGTTCAAGCCACCACCAAGGAAGTGAGAGTTGCTAGAGCAGAGGTGGTCAGTGATTTCACTGAGACCCCAAGGGTGAGGGTGAGGTTGTGTTCATGCAGCCCAGCAGCTGGCAGAGGACCAAATCAGTGAGTGGAAAGAAGGAAAAGAGGAAAAGTAAACAGCGGCTTAGTCATAGAATGGAATCAATCGAGCAGTAGGAAAGAACTAGTGCCATAAACACAGGTGATTCTCAAAATGTACTTACATTTGAATAAACAAGGCTTAGAAGAATATTACAGTCTCCTTACATGAGGTTTTCAACATGCAAAGCAGCACTGCACATACACACATGCGTACATAAGGTTAAACTACTTGGAATCTACCATTTTGACTTACAAAAATAGCAGTTTCATGTGGCTGAACCTAAATTGAGATCACAAGGGACAGTCCATCCATAGCATGGACTACTACTCACCAAGGAAAAAGGACAAGCTATTGACACACACAACGACTTGCCTGGACCTTGAGGAGATTATGCCGAGTGAAAAGAAGCTAGTCTTCAAAGGTTTCACGTACCATATGATTCCACTTATATAACAGGCTTGAAATGACAATGTAAAGATAGAGAACAGATTACTGGTAGTCAGGACCTGGGAAGGGGTGGAAAAGAAGGTGACAGCAAAAGGGTGGTGGGGGCACCTGGGTGGCTCAGGGATTAAGCATCTGCCTTAGGCTCAGGTCATGATCCCAGGGTCCTGGGGTCGAGTTCCACATCAGTCTCCCCACAGGGAGCCTGCTTCTCCCTCTGCCTATATCTCTGCTTCTCTCTGTGTGTCTCTCATGAATAAATAAATAAAATCTTAAAAATAAAATAAGAGGGATGGCATAGGGATAGGATCTTTGTCATGGATCTCCTTGGTGATGGTCACAGGAATGCACACATGATGCCATTGCATAGAACTAAACACATACACACACACACACAAGTGCATGTAAAATTGGTGAACTCTGAGGAAGGTGGGTTTGATTACAGCAATGTCAGTATCTTGGCTGCGACGTTGTACTGTGTTCTTACACAGGTGAGCACTAGGGGAAACTGGATGAAGAGTGTATGCCATCTCTCTTTACTATTTCTTATTGCATGTGAATCTAGAGCTATCTCAAAATAAAAATTTAAAATACATACCAGGTAGGGGCACTTGGGTGGGTGGCTCAGTTGGCTAAGAATCCGACTCTTAGTTTCAGCTCAGGTCATGATCTCAGGGTCCTGGGATAGAGCCCTGCACCCAGCTCCACGCTGGCCGTAGAGCCTGCTTAAGATTCTCTATCTCCCTTTCCCTCTGTGCCTCCCCATTTCACACTCATACACTCAAGTGCTCTCTCTCTCTGTCAAATAAATAAAATCTTAAAAAATATTTTTTTAACAAATGGGGTAATAATACCACTTTTAAGATAGAGGTTCTTTCTGGGGCAAGAGATGGACTCTGCAGACAGGGAGGGATACATGGGGGGGGAGGCACACCTGTATCTGCCATGTTCTCCTCAAGAAAGAAAAATCTGAAGCAAACATGGCATCATGCTCAGGTTCCACAAAGCTGAATGGAGGGTACACAGGTGTTTCTTTTCTTATTCTCAATCCTGCTTGTATGTTTGAACAAGTTTGTAATTTTTAAAAAGCTGACCTTGCTCCTTTCATCCAGAGCCAGGACTGGGTCCAGGCTGAAGAGGGCTGAGGGTGCAGGTGGTGGGACAGGGGGGCACACAGGGCTCACTGAGGAGGTGGGGGACACAGAGGCAACCCCGGCCTCTCTCCACAGCCCCCAGAGAAGGAGGGTGCCCTGCCTCGGCAGGTGGGCAACAAGACGGAGTGCGGCCTGCTGGGCTTCGTGCTGGACCTGAAGCAAGACTATGAGCCGGTGCGCAGCCAGATGCCGGAGGAGAAGCTGTACAAGGTGTACACCTTCAACTCCGTGCGCAAGTCCATGAGCACGGTCATCAAGCTGCCCGACGAGAGCTTCCGCATGTACAGCAAGGGCGCCTCTGAGATCGTGCTCAAGAAGTAAGAGGCGCCGGCGTGGGTGGGGGGCAGGGAGTGGGGACCACAGCTTCGTGCAGACCACCACGTCGAGCAGGCTGTCCCGCAGGCTGGGCTGGAGGGCCGTCTGGCATCCTGGGGTGCAGGGAGGGGCCCCTGCCCTATGTCACACGGCAGAACCACCTCCACGTGCTTTCTCCAGTTTCCCCTTTAAAATTTCTACAAAGAGCCCTCCCCCTACTCCTCCCTACATCACCGGATCATCAGGAAGTGCCACCTTGTCACTGTTAAAGCTCCCTTATTTCACTTCCCTCAGCACAGAGTTGGTTGACTGTAGTGATGTTCATTGTTAGCTAGTGCTCTCTGGCTCCAGGTGCCAGAGATAAGCCTGGAGAGCTAGGCAAGTCACTCCCAGTCTCAGGACCTCAGTTTCCCCACTCATACCTTGAGGGGATTGGTGTAGCCCAGTGGTTCTCAACTCTGACTCCACATTGGAATCACCCCAGGAAGCTTTTAAAAAAACCACTGATACAGGGCACCTGGGTGGCTCAGACCCCTAAGCATCTGACTCTTGATTTCAGCTCAGGTCATGATCTCAGGGTCATGAGATTGAGCCCTGCGTTGGGCTCTGCACTGGGCATGGAGCCTGTTTAAGATTCTCCTTCTGCCCCTGCGCCACTCCCTCTCTAAAAGAATATACTAAAAACCAATTGGAACCTCTGAGGTAGAGCTCACACGTGGGTTTTTATCTATTCTGTGTTCCCCCCAAGCCATTCTAATGTGCCAGCAAGGTCCAGAACCACTAGCCTAGGTTTCATGCCCTTTGAAAATCATTTTAGCTGTGAAACTATTTTTTCAGATGAAATCTTGTGAATATAAGACAGATCAAAGTAGATGTGATGTGCTCTTGCTGAATGGACTGGGGCAGATATTGCAAGAAGGCTGCCTGATTTCTTTTTGGCTGGTCCTGATTTCATTCCTGCCTGGGGCCCAGGGGCCTGGACCAGCCCTGAAGCATTGTGGGAGATGAACTGGACGGACCCTGGATGACCAACCACGGCCAGCTGGGCATCACTGGGGAGGGGGAGGTGAGCTCGAGCTGGTCAGAGGGAGGACCCTTGGGCCCTTGGCTGGACCTCACCTATCTCCCTCCCATTGGCTCCCAGGTGTTGCAAAATCCTCAACGGGGCAGGGGAGCCCCGGGTCTTCCGGCCCCGTGACCGGGACGAGATGGTGAAGAAGGTGATCGAGCCCATGGCCTGCGATGGGCTCCGCACCATCTGTGTGGCCTACCGTGACTTCCCCAGCAGCCCTGAGCCCGACTGGGACAATGAGAATGACATCCTCAATGACCTAACCTGCATCTGCGTGGTGGGCATCGAGGACCCTGTGCGGCCCGAGGTAAGCCGCCTCCCAGCAGGCTTGGAGAGGCTGGGATCCCAGCTTGCTGACTAGCTAGCATAAGTTGCCTCACCTCTCTGAGCCTGTTTCCCTGTAGTGTCCACAGGGTTTTCTCCTTACCTACTCCTAAGCATTTGGATTCATAAGACCAACGTAGGCCGCACTTGGCATTGATCTGCTCAGGACATGGGGTAGCGCCCCACACCCTGCCAGTAGGCGCTGCTTTGCCATGGGGGCAGTTCATCCACCCAACCATCCAGAAACCTTCCTTGCCCCGAAGGGACAAGCATAGGGTCTCCCCTGCCTTAGAAGCCTCCTGCCCCCCAGGAGTCAAGATCTCCTATAACACAGCCATAGGCCTGGATTCCAGGATCCCCACAAAGGAGACACCCAGAAACAAAGGCCACCAGTATTCAGGAAAACCCCAAGTTAGCATTCTGTCCATTCAGACCCAGTTTCCCAATCAGTTAACCCTGGCAGGCTTGCACAGCGACATAGCCGACAGTCTCCCTTTATCAGGTTTCCAGGGGCACAGAGCTAGAAAGTCAACCCAAGGTCAGATTCTCAAGCAGAAGAGAAGGGGATAACAGCACCCCTCCCTGTAAGGACCCAGGAAGATGATGTAGTAAGTGCACCTACTGTGTGCTCGGCCCCCATAGGTCTTCAGCCTCCTTTCGCTGCATCTGCACCTGGTGGGGGGTGGGGGGCCAGAATTCAGTGCTGGGGACTTGCAGGGCCCTGTGCTGTCAGCCTGCCCTGCACAGATGGGCCCGTGTGGTCAGTCAAAAGAGGGGGCTGCCTCGAATCTCTAGCACATCACTGTGGGCAGGCAGAGCGAATCCTCACCCTGGGGGGCCCTAGAGGGCAGAGCCCAGCACACAGGACAAGGCACAGAGAGGCTGGCCTCCATGTCGCCAGAGGACCAACACGGCAGCTGGGTGTTGATTCCCAGGCCAGCCCGGGCTGGACCCAAATTGGCCTCGGCTGTGACTGGAAGGCAGTGACTGTATCTCTCAGGGCCACCTTCCTCCACCAGAGGCGACATCGCTGTTCCCCACTTGCCTTGACACTGTTCCACGGGGGGCCTCTTGCTGTTCCCTGATCCTCTTGGAGCCTCCATGTTTCCCTTCTTTCAAGTGAAAGGAAGTAGACAAGGTGTTTTCCAAATTCCCAGCCCTGATGTTCTGAGAGTCTGTGTTCCAAAGACCAAGTGAAACTCGAATGTCACGGACATGGATTTTCATGTTTTAGCAGCAAGGAAAGGCGATGCCAAGAGTGTGAGCTCAGGCATCAGACAGACCTAGGATCCTGGGTCCCAGCATTACTAGCTATGTGGCCTTGGGCCAGTTACATAACCTCCCTGAGCCTCTGTTTCCTCATCTGTAGAGTGCGGATAGGAAAAGTATTCTCCACATATATACATCCCCAGCTACTATGAGGTGTCAAATCACACACACACAAGCAACAGGCAGAGTCTGGCATGAGGTAGGTGGTCCATGAATGTGGGTCCCCTCCTTTCATGTTTCTTCCCAGTAGACTCAAAATTCTGGGTCTAGTGACACATAACAGCCCCTAACACAGAGCCCAGCCTCTGGAAGGTGCTCAATTAAGTGTGGAATGAATGAATGAGAACGAAAGGACTTGAACACCCATCTTCCAATACCATGCCTGGTACTTATCTCACACACTTCTACCACCCATAGGCCTCCTCACTCCCACCCAGAGCCTCAAAGCAGCAAAGGCAAACTGTGTCCCAGGTGCTCGGCCATATGTGTTTTCCTGCAGACCGCGTCTCTCCCTGGACTGACAAGCCATTTATCAGCCTTCCCTGGGATGCCCAGTCATTACCAGGCGCTAATGGGTTCAGGCTTCCCATGACCGGTTATCTCCTGGTCTAGTCTCCACACAGCAGACAAGGCCAGCCTGCAGCTTCCCTGTCCTTCCCATTCCAAGAGCTCCTAGCCCATCACCCTAACTCCGAAGCATCCCTGAGATGGGGTGGGAAGTAATATCAGACACATACCCTTTTTTTTTTTGTCATGACCTGTACTAATAACAGATGTATTTTATATCATGATTCAGTAAACACACACAGTTAACCAAAATAAGGATATCAGAAAGTAATGTGATGCACTTGGAAGCATTTTCTATTTCTTTCTTTTTTGTAATGCTAATTACCACCCACTACACTGATTTGACAATCCACTAAAGGGGTATGATTCTAGGTTTGAGCTGCTGCTGACCTGGACCAAATGCTTCCGCACACCCTCAGTGAGGCCAAGCCGGGACAGTGATGTTCCTTCCCAAAGTCTCGCACTAAGTGGCTGAGCAAACCCAGATTAGAACAGGTTTTCTGCCTTCCTGCCCTAGGCCCTTCTCCTGGGTGCTGCAGAAATGGAAGGGCAAGTGGTTCTAAGTCAGGAGGGTGAGGAGAGGCTAAGCTGGGTCCCGGCATATTCTGTTGATAGCATGATCATCCAAAGAAGCTGGCTTCAGGCTCAGACTCTGGGAAGGGACAGCTGTTCCACCCATCTTGCAGACATCTACATTGGAGAAAGGGGGCCTAGATCCAAGCCCCAACTCTGCCACTAACAAGCCACTTCCCCTCTCTGTGCCTCCATTTCCTCATCTGTAAAATGGGAGGTTGGCCTAGATGGCCTGCCAAGCTCCAGCATTCTGAGACGACCGGCTGGAGGGCTTACCCTGATACTTTTCTTTGCTTCCATCAAGTTAGTACCTACTCTCTCCCCCAGGCTCTCCTCCAGGATGTAGATTTCGATGTTTGTGAGCTGTTTTGGGGAGCAGTGACTTACTAGTGTGACACAGCAGAGTTAAGGGATAAGGACTCGAATCCAGCCCCTGCCACTCCTTCACAGAAGACCTCAGGTGCATCCCTTCCCTTGGTCTCCGTTTCCCCATCTGAACAATTAGAGTTGGACATTCCCAAGTAAGGGACACAGCACAGTTGCTGGTGACGCTAACTTGAAAGCATAAAAGCTCTGACCTGTTGACTCAGCATTTCCCAATGGGGTGGGGATGGCTTTTGATTTATTTGGCTCTTAGGCTAGGTGATTAATACACATGGAGCTAAACTCAAATGGTTCAATAGCGCAGACAGTGAAGCAGCCTCTCATGCTGGTTCCCGCCTCACAGGCAGCCACCGTCACCAGCTCCTTGGGTGACTAGGCCAGTGTCTGTGCCTGTGGTTTTGGGCAGGCTCTCCCAGGCAACCCTGAGGCTGATCAGACCAGAAACCTCAGCCTGGGCCACCTCTAGGGTCCTACGAACATTTTCAGATTCCTTTTCCAGCTGTCACTGGAACATAAACTCTGCCTCCCTCAGTTTTCGCATCTGTCAAGGGGACAAATCATGTTGCCTTCTTCCCTTGAGAAGACAGAAGACAGAACAGATCAAAACAGGCTTGTTGATCACCCCCCAGACACATGTAACATGCTGCCTCGGGTACATTTTCCAATACTGATTGAAGCCACAGCAGATAAAGCCATCAGGAGAGCAGCAGTCTGGGATTTGCCCGGTTATCCGGGGGTGTTGGGAGCCCTTGGAGTCACAGACAACGGGTGTCACCAGAAACAACAGATGTTTGAAAGCCTTTATTTAATGAAAACAGGAAGCACCCATTTTCTGGCTGTTTTTCCTCAGTGAGAAAAATCTTGGATAATTTTAGCAAAAGAAGGAATTTTTTTTTTAATTTTACAGTTATTTTGTCTACATGGAAAGTGTATTTCAGCCAGATCAGTGCTTCTGTGGCTTAAGTCTTAATCATCTCTGGATCCTCAGTGCCCAGAAGAGTTCGATGTTCAGTAGCTGTTTGTCAAACAAATGAACCAGTCCCTTTGGCAAGGAAATGCTGAATGCGGTTTAAGGAAGCACCCCATTGGGTTGGAGGAATCCTGAATTGCTTCATGAGTAGAAGGCATTGCACAGGAGAGAGGGAGAGATTTGTGACACACAGATTAAAAGGGGGAGAGTGGAGCACCTGGGGACTCAGTGGTTGAGCGTCTGCCTTTGGCTCAGGGTGTGATCCCAGCGTCCTGGGATCAAGTCCTGCCTCAGGCTCCCTGTATGGAGCCTGTTTCTCCCTCTGCCTGTGTCTCTGACTCTCTGTGTGTGTCTCTCATGAACAAATAAATAAAATCTTTAGGAAAAAATAAAACTCATCCCCCTTTTACAAATGAGGAAGCCAACACTCGGTTGGGTCCCCAGGGCAAAGCTCAACCCCACCTTTCAGTTCCTGATCCCCCTCTCCGAGGCAGAGAAGCCTCCACCACACAGAGGAAACTGTGGGAGCCATAATAAAAATTAGCTGCCTCCTTTTTCTCCCTGAGCCAGCTTGTTTTGGGGAGCCCCAGAGGGTGGGATTCCAAGCAGGCAGATTTCAACTCCCCAAGACAGCCTTGAAAGCATGAGTCTTTCTAAAACACGGTACTAATCACCTCATCCCCAGTTCAGAACTTACCATGGCTCCCAGGCTTGGTATCAAGCCCCTGATTCCAGCACCTTCTGAGTGCAGGCCCTTCTCTAGTTCATGGCCACCAGCTCCTGCCCCTCATCCTCCTCAGCCTCAGCCCCTCCAGAACACCTGCCACACTTTCCACAGCCCCCTTGGCACCTTCTCTCCCAGTGCATCTCAGGGAACAGTTCTCTCTGGCCCAGGCCACAATGAAGTGGTCATCTGTGTAGCCCCAGCCAGGGCGCCGTACCAGGCACCAGAGCCTCAGTTAGTGTTGGCTGAACAAAAGCAGCTCAAACATCTCCTTCTCCAAGAAGCTTTCGCATATTTCTTCTCTCCATCTACTTCCTTCTGAAGGAATGGCACCCTCCTCTGTGCTCCCAGAGCTCTTTGTACAGAGATCTTTACCAAAGACCCTGCCTCCTGCAAGAGTACAAGTCAGGCCCAGAACAACTGCTCTCATCTGAAAAAAAGAATGATTGTGTGAAAGGATATGATAGACTTGTTCCACTATAGAGTGGTCAGCCTTAGAGGGAGTGAGGACCCCATCGTCAGAGGCATGCAAGCAGAGGCTGGCTGGCCATCTGTTGGGATGCCTAACAGGAATCTCGGCAATGAACAGAGAGTCAGAGTCATGACCTGAAGCCCCTTCCAACTCCAAGACCTCAAGCGTCTTTCAGTCAAACATAACCTGAATTATTGCTTTGAAGGGGAGCCAGATAAGGCATATAGAGCCAACAGAGCAGTGGCTCTTTCCTTTCCTCTTGGATCAGGAGACACGGGCTGCCATCCAGGTTACAGCTGTTGTGAGGAAATCGATAAATTATGTAAGCAGGATGTTGGACATTCCACATCCCCACTCCCTCTGGCTCTGTAGAAAGAGGTCATGTTTACCTATGCAAGCAGGCACTGCGGCATAAGGCAGAGGCCTTGCTCACGTGGCCCCAAGCCCTGGAAACACACCCAGAGGAGATCTCTGGTCAGCTTACCCTGCTCTAGCCCTTGTGACGGGGAGATCACTACCTGTCACCACAGAGCTGGTCTCATACAATTCTAGTAGCCAGAGAGGCCTCCTGACCTTGGCCTGGAACCTGCCTCTTCACGATATTTGTTCCTTGCTCTACCACAAGATGGCTGTGCTCAGGAGTCTTGTTTTTCTCTACAAGCAGCAGGGGGGAACCCCTGAAGGAGTATGACACCCAGGCTGAACTTCAGGCAGGTCGCTGGCGGTCAGGTGGAGGAACGATAGAAGAGGAGTAAGGCCAGAGGCAGGGAGATTGGGTAAGGTCTGGGCAGTGACCCCACCTTGGAATGGTGGTGCTCTGTGCAGAAGGAACAGCAGCTGCTGTGGGGGTGGACAGAGGCTAAATATTTTCAAGATCAAGCCTTGTGTTTAAAATTCCTAAGGATGGGAAGGGGACCAGCGGTCAGGAGCTGCCTACAGTCAGGTTTTGAACCAATGTTCTAACCCTTTGTATTAGTTTGCTGGGGCTGCCATAACAAAGTTACACAGGCTGGGTGGGCGGTGGGGGGGATGGGGCTCAAACAACAGGACTGGACTGTCTCACAGTTCTGAAGGCTGGAAGTCCAAAGTCATGGTGTTGGCAGGGTTGGTTTCTTCTGAGGGCCCTGGGGAAGAATCTGCTTCAGACCTTCACCCCTCCCCCATTCCCACCCTCAAGTTTATGGGAGTTCGCTGGAAATCTTCAGCACTCCTTGGCTTCTGGCAGCAGCACCCAATCTCTGCCTTCATCATCACCTGACAGTCTCCCTGTGTGTGTGTCTGGCTCCAAATTCTCCCCTCAGATAAAAGCCCCAGTCACGGTGGTTAAGGGCCACTGACCTTGACTTTGGGGGGCGAAGTGCAAGTTCAGTCCCTCTCAGCCGTGGCTTGGCAGAGTGGGGATGGAAGTGAGCTCCCAGGAACTATGATGTGTGTGAAGAATGAGAGTTAGACTCAGCCTCTCCAAGCGTGAGATTCTAAAGTGCTTTGGTCTTTTAGTACAACTGGATTTTCTGCCCTTGACATGTCCTCTTCCACTCAAAGACGTTTTGCAGCAACCAGCAAGTATTACCATATTATTTTATCATCTGTCACTGCCCATGGGTAAGAATCACTTGTTCAGTTGATCTATGTTTTGTGTAAAGGGCTGCAGCAGCTCCAGGCTGATTTCTGCATCCTAATTGCGGGGCAAATAAATCCACAGCTCTGCCTAGGAGCAGGGACTGGGAAAGGGGATGGTGCTTACCCCACTTCTGACTGGCTGGGTCTACTCTGGCCTCATTGGCCCAGACATCAGTCTATCATTACAGTCAGAGAGGGCAGGAGGTAGTCCTTACTCTCTCATGGAAATGTCCTATTTTACATGAAGTATAATCATTTGTATTTATTCTAAGCCAGTGTCACATTCTGTAAATGCAGTGTTCCCAAATGCAATGCCCGCCCCCCCAAAAAAACCCTGAAAATACAAGAACATATTTATCTATCACTGACTTTGCAGGAATTATGCATGTGTATAAAGCAGGGACACATTCCTATGCCATACTAGAGTGTTCTATTCTCACCTGAAGTGTTCTTGAGGTCTTTCTCAAAGTCCTTGCCCAGGTCAGGATAGCCTAGGGTTTTATCTCAGAGAGGGATAATATGGTGGGAAGTGGTAGCTGCCTGGGACTCCACTGAGAATTCTGAGACCATATCAGGGTTTAATCAGAGGATTCTGCGATCGATTAACAATGCCTGCCACAGGCACAGAAAGGGAAGAGACAGCCCACATGCCATATGTGCTATCAGTATCTCATGGTCATCCAGGCCCCTTACACTGGAGCTGCCTGTGAACAGGGCTCACTCTGGGATCCATAAGGGAAGTGAGGGCCTGCCCTAGGTGGTACTCACCCCCATTGCTTCTGCCTTCCTGCCAGGTCCCAGAAGCCATCCGCAAGTGCCAGAGGGCAGGCATCACAGTTCGCATGGTCACTGGTGACAATATCAACACAGCCAGGGCCATCGCCATCAAGTGTGGCATCATCCATCCTGGGGAAGACTTTCTATGCCTGGAGGGCAAGGAGTTCAACCGGAGGATCCGCAATGAGAAGGGGGAGGTAAGTGCCCAACACAAGGAAGCTTCCAAGGGATGAGCTAGGATGGGGGCTGGGAGGCATGGGGGCTGCATGACTGTAGAGAAGACAGCCAGCGTACCACTAAGAACCCACTCACTTTGGGTAAGTCCTCTCCCTTCTCCAGACCTCAGTTTCTCTCTCTGATACTCCTCCCAACCCACTCCCTCCCCCATCCCTCTCCAGATTGAACAGGAGCGAATTGACAAGATCTGGCCAAAGCTACGGGTGCTGGCTCGTTCCTCCCCCACGGACAAGCATACCCTCGTCAAAGGTAAGACTTGGGGGGGGCAGCTCTGAGACCAGAATCCGCTCCTCTCCTGGTACCTGCAGCTCTTTCCAGGACAGAGGGGCTTTTGCGCGGAGCTCCCCACACCTGGCAACACCCTTGTTTCACCCCATTGCAGCCCTGGGAGGGCCTCTAAGGGCCACAGTGGGATGGGGAGGTTGTGAATCTTCTCTCTGGGTTCCACCTCTTCTAGAAAACAATGGGCTGGGCCTGTCTAGGTCCAAAAGTCTTTACCTGAGGGTCAAATAGGGCCCACAGACATGTTATATTTGACTGATGTAGTGCCTTTTTTTATGTTGAATTTGGATGGCTTTATACAGACTCTCCTTTCACTTTGAATCAGTCTTCACCACTCCTTATTGTTTGACATCCAGCCCACTTGACTTATTTATATTCTCAGCCTGGCCCCAGAGCTTGTCTTCCTGGTCTGCATGATCTCTGAGGACTCCAACAAACATCTGTGACCAGAACCCCAGGGGTGGGCTCTCCTGGGAATAGCAACCTGAGAGATGAGACCAAAAGCTAGCATCCTTCTCCTTCCCTGTCTTCCTCCAGAGAGAAGGAGCATACCATTTGTTGAGCCCATGTAGGTGGCCGGGTGCTGGGCACTTTTAGAGTCATACAGCCCTGACTTCAAGTCCTGGCTCTTCCACTAACCTGTTCTATAGCCTTGGGCAAGTTTCCCCTCTACTGGGACTCAATTTCTCCATCTTTAAAATGGCCATAGAAGGGCAGGTTTCTGGCTGAGGTCATCCCTGGGGCATCTTGGATTCCTCTTCCAAAATGCTGCCCAAGGACATTAGAGGAGGCAGATCCGGCTTGGGGATAGAGACTCAGAATCTCAGAATCACAGATACCAGAGCAAGAAGCCCCCCAGCAAATCCCCATTTCTTTCTTAATCACTCACTCATTCATTTACTCATTCTCTTGATAAATATTTATTAAGGATCTGCTAAGTGCCAGGCCCTGCTCTTGGCAGACATGTTCCTTCCATCTTAGAATTCATGGTCCAAAGAGTCCATCCAGCAGACATCAAACAGGTTTCCTTCCACAGACCTAGAGGCTGTTATCAGTGGAAGGGTAGGATGGGGCCCTCTGTTGGCGTCTCACTCAGGCTGGGGATGGATTGCACATCATAGGCCATCGAAGGTAGGTCGAGGGTCCAGGAGAAAGGGCTTTTGTTTTCAGGTGGGTCAGAGAACTGCACTGTGAAAGACCAGAGGCAAAGCTTCCCAGACACCTTCAGGAAATGTAAAGAAGCTCAGTTGGCCAGGCAGGGACCTCAGGCGAGAGAGGAAGACCAGAGAAGAGGGTGCCGGTGTCAGATCATGTAGGGCCTTGAATGCCAGGCCAATGACCTGTGCTGTTAGCCCAGCATTGGGAGCCACTGGGAAGGCCTTGAGGGGAAAAGTGTTATTTTATAAAGTTCATTGCCCACTTGTGGGGAGAACCACCAGGATTGTCCAGCTGTAAGAGCTACTTCCCAGACCAGGGTAGGGTGATGACAGCACAGGTGGAGCTGGAAGTCAATAGGTCAGAGACCTATTTGGGTGGTAGAAGGACCTGGGCCCAGCAGTCGTTCAGATATAGTTGAGGGATGAGATGGGGTGAGGGGTCCCATAGTCCCTCAGTATATACAGGTTCAAGAGCTTGCAGCATGTCAGGATGGCCCCTGGGTTTTGAATGGGCAGCTGGGTGTCAGGAGTCACAAGGGACAGATCTGAGAGTGATGAGTTCAGTTTAGGGCCAGCTGAGCTGGAGGCCGTGTGACATCCAAGTGGAGATGTCCAGAAGACAGCTTGCCATCTGTGGAGTCAGGGCTCAGCAGAGAGATAAAGACGCAGGTGGGCTGTGCTAAATGGGAAGAGCAGGGGAGCCTGCCAAACCCCTGAACCTCCCACATGAGTGATGGGCAGAGGCTGAGAGATGGAGAAGAGACAGCCAGAGGAGTGGGAGGACACCAGGATCAGCGGTGTCCAAGAAGACAAAGAAGGGAGCTTGCCGAGGAGGAAGGTATGGTCCACGGCAGGAATGGCACTGAGAGGTCCAGAGAGATAGGACAGGAATGTGACCATAGGCGATGGCCACAGGAAGGCCCTTGGTGACCGCACGCAGGCAGGCCATGTCAGTGGAGTGGCAAAGCTCTGGAGGTGGAGGAGAGTGCTCTGGGAGAAGGTGTCCTCCCAGCTCCCCTTCTATTGGGAACAGCAGGAGGGCTGTGTCAAAGCAGGTACCAGTCTGCGGGGCCACAGAGGAAAATGTGGCCCCTCCCTGCTTTGGAGGAGCAGATAGGCATGCTGAGGGAAGGCCTTGCATGCCCAGTGGACAGAACCTGGAGGCTGAGTCTTGACTGGGGACTCGGGGACTGCCACCAGCTGGGGTGGGAGGTGGGGGACAGCCTAGGATGAGTCCCAGACCACATGGCCTTGGCGCTAGGCCTTGAAGAGGGTGGAAGCTGGACCACTCCCCAGGGCTGAGGGAGTGGCTGCAAGGACCTACAAAGGCTTCTCAGAGAACCTGTTCCCTCATCCCTTGGGCTGCTGCTGCTTCTTACCAGGCACAGGGCAGGGAGAGACATACGGGAGCTACAGCAATCTGATTAGGGCAGGTAAGGGTACTCAGGGAGTCACAAAGGCTTCCCCAGGGGAAGTGGCATCCGAGCTGAGACTACAGGCACAAGACAGGCCCAGCCAGCCGACGGAAAAGCCCAAGCAGACAAGGCAAGGGGGCCGGCTTTGTAGACGGAGAGCCATTCCTATGACTGGAGCACAGATTGGGGGTGGCCAGGGACAGAGAACGGGTGAGTCTGATCACCAGGGACATCAAACTTTCTGCATGGAGCTAAAAACATGGATGTCACCCTGAGGCTAGCATGGGCCATGACAGAATGACTATTGGTTTAGAGGGAGGCAACAGGTCAGCCCAGGGATTAGAGAGAAATCCTGGTGCTGCTGTGCAGGTTGGACGGGCAGCCTGGGGTTAGTGGGTGGCAGAGACGATGCTGGTGGCAGAGGGGAGGGGGACAGAGAGAAGTGGAATGTTTCACTTCCAGTGGGATCTTGGAGCAGAAACTCCAGGCCTTGGTGATGGATGTGAGATGTGAAATGAGAGAGGGACATGCCAAGAGTGACATTCAAATTTCTGTCCTGTCCATGGCGCCTGCATCCTCTCAAGTTCCATATGTGACCAAAGATGACATCTTTCACCCACCATTTTCCGCTGGCCCCAGCTCAGTGACAAGGCCACATGCTGTTTATTCAACTTGTTGAATATTTTATTTTTATTTATTTATTCTTTTTTAAAGATTTTATTTATGAGAGAGAGAGAGAGAATAAGACAGAGAGAGTAGGGTGGGGTGGGCAGGGAGGAGCAGAGGGAGAGGGACTCCCCACTGAGCAGGGAGCCCAAGGACCCTGGGATCATGACCTGAAACACAAACAGACGTTTAACCAACTGAGCCAGCCAGGTGCCCCTGAATATTTTGTTGAGGGTAGATGTTTGGAGAGAGGTCCGGGTCAGGGGTCATTGGCAAATGGCACAGCCCAGGCCTCCTCAGGAGGGACTATGCGTGTACAGGGAGAAGGAGCTGAGGGAGGAGCAGATGATAGGAGAACAGAGGCGCTCCTAGAACTCAGGCAGAGGGGGAGGTGTTTCCAGCCAGGGTGGCCTCCAGTGTGGCCAAGGGCTGCAGAGAGTGCAGAGTGTGCTGGAGAGGCAGTCAGGGCCCAGACCGCAGAGGACTGAGGTGCCCAACATCCCCTGCAGATGCTGGCAGCCGCAGGCAAGCCTGGAGCTGGGAAGAGCCACAACAGGAGGGGGTGGCAGGGCAGGGGCCAAAGAGGAGGCTGTGCCCGGCCCGGGGTCCTCCCAACGGTCAGGGCTGGCCGGGGCTGCCTCTGGCCCATGGAGTGTCCTGGGGCCCTGAGCGCACTCCCGCCCCACCCCACAGGCATCATCGATAGCACACACACCGAGCAGCGGCAGGTGGTGGCCGTGACGGGGGATGGCACCAACGATGGGCCTGCACTCAAGAAGGCTGACGTGGGCTTTGCCATGGTAGGGGCAGCTCGCATTGGGCCCCAGGGTGGGGCCTGGCAGGAGCTCATGGGCAGGGGTTATGGACAACACAGCCTCAAGCTGTCTGTGCAGGACACCCAGTGCACACTCAGCTCACCCACCATCCACCTCATGGGTCCAGGGCTCTCAAGCCTCAGCCTGGCCCCTGGGGTCCCCCTGGAAGGGTGGAAGGGGGCTCCCTGCAATGATGGGGGTGGGGGGAGCTAAGGGGAGGGTAGGCCAGGGAACAACTTCCCAAAGGCAGAGAGCTGGCCTCAGGGGCCTGGGTCTAGGGGGTGGGGTACATGCACACACACACCATGTGGTCTGGCCGTGCTGGGCAGTTGGGAGTATGCATGTGGGGGTTTGTATAGGACTGAGGATGTGTAGGGGATGAGGACAGTGTTGCTTGAGCTGCTCACCCCCCAGCCGCCTCTCACAGTCTCCTGTTCCTGTCCCCACAGGGCATCGCAGGCACGGATGTGGCCAAGGAGGCCTCAGACATCATCCTAACGGATGACAATTTCAGCAGCATTGTCAAGGCAGTGATGTGGGGCCGCAATGTCTATGACAGCATCTCCAAATTCCTGCAGTTCCAGCTGACGGTCAATGTGGTGGCTGTGATCGTGGCCTTCACCGGCGCCTGCATCACGCAGGTGGGTCCTCGGGGGGGAGGGGAGTGCAGGTGGGCAGGGCCAGGCCTACCAAAGCATGGGGGAAGCCCTGCCAAGGTCCAGGAGTTGCATCACAGACCACAGGTGCAGGCACCAGCCTGAGGAAATGAGGCTCAGTCAGGAGGGAGGCTGGCCCAAGGTCATCTAGCAAACAAGAGATGTCAAGCCTCACCCCCATGTCTGTCTCGTCTAGTCACAGCCCTGGTCCTTGCTGCAGGAGGCAGAAGAGGTCATCCTCAAAGGAAGGCAGAGGCCCCAAAGGCCCAGAGGGAGGCAGAGGCAGGGCAGGGCCCAAGGGGGGTCAGGCAACCCGATGGGGGCAAGGAGCCAGCAGAGTCCTGGGGGCCTCAGTTCTGGCAAGAGAGGTCTATTTGCCTGGGGCCCTAAGGCCAGGTTAGGGCTCTTTGTCACTGGGAGAGGCAGTTGTCTGTCAGGATCACCATCTGGCCATGAGCAGCCCCATCCCGAGCTCAGGGGAAGCCAGCCAGCAGGCCTGCATGTCTTCAGCCTCACTCCTTCCTCACCTGGCCCCATAAGGTGAGAGCTATAATGATCCCCATTTTACAGAAGCAGAAACCAAGGCTGAGGATGGACCAGCCAGGAACCTGCCATTGTTCCTGCAGCCTCCTGTCTTCTCCTAGGGGCTAACCAGCCCAGCCTGGAGAGGAAAGGGCCAGTATTTCAAGGCCTCCTGGCAATCACACAGGTAGACAAGCTCCTGCCCACAGAGAGGAGCCCCCAGAGGCCCAGAAGGCAGCACTGCCCCAAAGAGCTCTGTGGCCTTAGGAATGCTGCTCCCTTTGCTGTGTTCGGAGCCCCTGGGGCTGCATGTGGCAGCACCCAGTGCCCTATCCTAGAGTCAGAGCTGGGAGGTGGCTGGTGGGTCCCTTCTACTGTCAGGGCCCTCTCCTGGTCTATGGGTGACAGATGCCCTCTAGTGGTACTTGGGGAAACCTTCCACAGCACAGCAGCTCCTGCAGGCTTCTCAGGAACCCACTGATGCCCTTGGGGAAACAGGTTCAAGGAGAACTATCAGTTTGCCTAAGGCCTGAAGTTGAGCTTGTGGCAAGGCCATGTAGGCGTTGGTGGGGACATGGGAGGCTCTGACCCCGAAGCACATGTAAACAGAGAAGGTAGGTGAGCAGGAAAAAGCCTCAGGACGAGGGAACGTGGCTGCTCCAGGGCATAGATAGGAGAGGTGGCCTGCAGGAAGGGCTCTGATGAATCCAGGAAGTGAGTGAGTGGATGGGGTATGGTCAGGGTGGGTCTCGGGGGCTGCACTGAGAAATGATACAGGGGTGAAGAACAGTTTAGGTTTAGGCTATTAGGTTTCCAGGGTCTGTGGGCTTCCTGCAGGAGGTGTTCCACAGTAGATGAGGCTAAAAGAACAGAGGGAGAGGAGGTATGGGCTGGAGAGAGGGTGATGCTAGGGAGAGGTGGGCACTGAAAGCCAGGGGGATAGGTGTGGTGAAGAAAGTAGGGCTGAGTAAGGGGCCATAGGGGCAGAGATTTAAAAGATGAGGCAAGAGGAGCCCTGAGGGAGGAGAAGAAGAAATGGCCAGAGCCCTGGGGCAGGCGGGCCACGAGAGTGGGGTCTAGTGCCAGGAGGAGATAGTGGCCGCACGAGGCAGTGAGGTCGGTGAGAGGAAGCTGGAAAAATTCGTCTCTCGATTGGCAACAAGGAAGATGCTGGGGACCTTGGAGGAAGGAATTTGGGGGGCATGGAAAGGCCAAAGTCTGGCTGCCAAGGACAAGGTCCTTGGGGTGCAACAGTAGAGGGGACAGTTCCTCGAGGCAGTGTACCCCATGTGATATGGTTGTATACAGAGCGGTATGACTCTGTGATCCCAGTCGCAGCCAGAGAAAGGCATGGAAGGATCCACACCAGAATGTGGACGGCGGCCACCAGTCGTGACAAGGTCATTGACGAGCTTTAGCTCCTTCTGCTCTTCCCTACTTGCCCAAGTTCTCTACCATAGGAAGTTTGTTATTTCTGCAACCATAGATGCACACGATAATTGCCTAAGGTAAAGTGGGATGACGAGGTAAAAAGGTGGTAGTGACAAGGGGACAGGGGCTGTGGGCACTGTTTGTGGGACAGCAGAGACCAGAGCCATTGATAGTTGAGGGGAAAGCAGCAGTGGGAGACTGAGGAGATAGGATCTGTGTCAGAGACAGGGGAGATCTCTGCCTTAGCCAGGAGAGGTGTGTCCACGGGGGCCGAAGGAGAGGAGGGCACATGCTAGGGAAGCAGGCAAATTTACCAGAAGGCAGGGAGCTGCTGACCGTCGTGCCTGGAAGACTCGATTTTCTCCTTGCGGGAGAACATGGGTGGGCAGGTCTAGGCTGTGCTCCAGGGAAGGGAAGGCCTGGCAAACTTGTGGGGTGCTCGCTCAGGAGCCCGGTGGGCAGGCCGGCTGAGGGCAGACCCCCTGGGCAGAGCCGGCTCAAGACCAGCAGGAAGCTGCCGAGACCCACACCCGGCACTTCGTAGCAGCAGCGGGCCGGCCTCCCCGGTGACAGCCTTCCCCGCCACTGCTGTCTCCAGGACTCCCCCCTGAAGGCCGTGCAGATGCTCTGGGTAAACCTCATCATGGACACGTTCGCCTCGCTGGCGCTGGCCACGGAGCCGCCCACCGAGACCCTGCTTCTGAGGAAGCCATATGGCCGCAACAAGCCCCTCATCTCACGGACCATGATGAAGAACATCCTGGGCCATGCCGTCTACCAGCTGACCCTCATCTTCACCCTGCTGTTTGTTGGTGAGTCCCCCACAGGCCCACCTGGGACACCCTGGCCATCCCCAGGCTTCTGGATTCACATCCACCCTCTTGTCTGCCAGTGAAGGAACAGGGGACTCAGGGAGGTGAAGTTAGTTGCTCAAGGTCACATAGCAGGTCTGGCCCCTTCTCTGACCCATTCCCACACTTCATCCGTGCCTCATGCGGGCTTCCTCTGAGATTTCCCTGGGGAGAGGCCGAACACCTGCCTAGCCACCAACTATTTCCACAGCATTTTCCATTAGGCTGCTTCATTTGGGTCTTGCACGCATTCAGTGGGGCAGGCCCCTGGTCCCCACCATACATTACAGTGAGTGCCCTGAGGCACACAGAGGTGAGGGGACCTGCCTGCAGGGTTCAGCCGAACTGAGGAGCCTGGGTAAAGACCAAGCCTGTTTTCCTTGGGTGAGTTATGGAGAAGCCCAGAGTGGGGAAGGGGCTGGCCCATAGCCACACAGTGAGTCAGGGCCAGCTGGGAGTCCTCAGCCTGGGCAGGGCCCTGTCACGTGAGGTGTGTGGCTTTCAATGCCACTGAGCATCTTCCCTCAAAGTCCAGAGTACAGATGTGGGTAAGGCATGGATCCTATTCCTCAAAGGGCAGTCTTCTTGTATAAATTTTGAAGGTGGTGTGTTGTCAGGACTACTGCAGGGATTATCTTTGGAGTCTTTGAAGAAGCCATGTGAATGAAGAAAGAAGACTTCCAGGAAGGGTCAGGGAAGGGGGGGAGTAGTTCCTAGTTTACTTGCTGGCTTCCCCCCTTGAGCACCTACTCTCAGTGGTCTTGGACTCAGCTAGACACCTCACGCTAAGAAAACCCCACAAGCCCTCCTGGCACCAGATTACACAGCTTTGCAAAGAGATGTAGAATGGCATCAAGGCCTGTCATCAGTGGGTGCCCGCACAGCAGCCCAGGGGGGCTACTCTCCCCCCACCATGTGGCAACGCAGGTACAAGGGAATGAGGCCACATGGGTGGAGCCAGCCTGGCCTAAAAGCCCCAACCTCCACATAGCAATCAATATTTCTTGTAAGATCTCCTGAAGCTTCCAGAAGTCTCAGCAAGGGACACAGTCAGCTACAAGCCTTACTTTTTTTTAAAGATTTTATTTATTCATCTGAGACAGAGCAATGCAGAGAGAGAGGAAGCATGAGCAGGGGATAGGCAGAGGGAGAGGGAGAAGCAGACTTCCCGTTGAGCCGGAAGCCCAAAGCAGGGCTTGAACCCAGGACCCTGGAATCATGACCTGAGCCAAAGGCAGGTGCTCAACCATCCAAGCCACCCAGGTGCCCCAAGAAACCCCACTTTCAGGGGAGCCCAAGGTCATGATTTCCCATGAGGGATTCCCAGTTCACACCCAGTCCCCACAGTCCAGATGAGTTTGCCAAGTGGAGGTCACTTTCTATAAGCAGTGTCAGCTGACAATACAGCTTACATTCCACTTCTATCAGATTTCCACGGAAGAGTGGAATAAAGTTCACCAAGGTCTCTCTCCCTAGAGAAGAAAGGGTCTTGTCATCCCTCCACTCATACTCAGGACTCCCCAACAGTGCAAGCCCACCCTGCCCCCTGATATCCAGAGCACCGCCTCCGTCTCTGCATGACCCACCTGACTGCGCAGAAGAGGCCCTTGCGCAGGGCCCCACGCCTCCCCTAGCCGAGACCCTCAGCCCCGCTCCCGCCCTCTCGGCTTGGCAGGCGAGAAGATGTTCCAGATCGACAGTGGGAGGAACGCGCCCTTGCACTCGCCACCCTCGGAGCACTACACCATCATCTTCAACACCTTCGTCATGATGCAGCTCTTTAACGAGATCAATGCCCGCAAGATCCACGGCGAGCGCAATGTCTTTGATGGCATCTTCCGGAACCCTATTTTCTGTACCATCGTGCTGGGCACCTTTGCCATCCAGGTAGCCAGGTCCCCACCCTAACCTGGGCCAGGGTGGGCAGTGGGCCACTAGAGTCCCTTGGCAGTGCCCTGAGAGCCCAGACCCCTGAATTGGCCCCTGACTCTCTCTGTGTCTCTTTCTCCCTCTCTGTCTCTTTCTTTCTGTCTCTCTGTCTCTCTGTCTCTGTCTCTCTGTCTCTCTCTCTCTCTCCCTGTTCTCCCCTTTCACCTCCAGATAGTGATCGTGCAGTTTGGGGGGAAGCCATTCAGCTGCTCTCCACTGCAGCTGGACCAGTGGATGTGGTGCATATTCATCGGGTTAGGAGAGCTCGTCTGGGGCCAGGTAAGTTCCAAGTGGGTTGGAGGAGGTGCCCCTCGGCCGAGGAAGAGAAAGAGCACCGGACAGGGAACTGGGGAGTCCCAGGAATGGGTCCCGGATCTGCCATAGATGCACTGTCTGGCCCTATGCGAGGCCCTCCCCATCTCTGAGCATCTGAGCAGTGGGGACTGGTTCAGGTCCCAGATACTGGTCCTTTGGGTACCACCACTGTGATTTTTGCCTTATATCCATATACCGTTGATCCTGTGATTTGTTTGATATTTTCTTTCAATCAAATCAGGTTTTTTTTCATTGAAATTCATGCAACTTTATATTATTAACATGATTAGAAAATTAATATCATTTGTCATAAACAGAAGCTAACAAAAAATAATAATGTAATGAGAACAATGTTATTAAACTCTAACTAGATGCCATGGCCTGCCAAGGCTCAGAGCTTGAAGCCAGCTTGTTGTTTAAGAGGATAATTAGTAAGTGGCCTGACACCAAGCAGAGACTCCCTTAGAGAGCTCTGAGGAAATGTAGGAGCAATGAGCTCTGGCTTGTCTCAGAGCTGTTTGATGCTGTGTCCAAGATCCTCCCCGGCTCTGGGGAACCATGCACTGGATGCTCAGGAGGGGCCCTTCCAGCTGTGACCCAGAACCTTCTCACACCAGCTCCCTTCCCTACTTTTGCCCAAGTCCTCGGCATGTGTGCACATGTGCATGTGTGCATATGCACGTACACACACACACACACACACACACACACACACACCCCTTCTCGGCACTCATTGCTTGCAGCCTGACCAGGATGCAGTTCTTGTGAGAAATACCTGGAGCCAGATCTGGACCAAAGGGGCTTTATTCCCAAGATGCTCCATTGTCCAGGTCATAGGGGCCCCAACTGGCCTGAGACATTGTTCTTGCCTTCAAGCTGTTCCAGGCTGGAGTGGGAAGCTGCAGGAGCAGAAATTAGTTAGAAGATAAAGAAGAAAATTTAGTTTCATTCAAAAAGTCCTTGTTTAAACTTTGGAGCTTCTTTGGAAAGTTGATAAACTAGATTTGCCTCAGCAACTCTATTCCCCGGGTACCCCCAGAGCCAGGCCATCTTTATCCTCAGGGAGCTCTTGGCATCTGGGAGAGCAGGATCTGAATGCCTGGGGACTATGCCAGTGGGCAGTGCTGACACCTCCAGGGGAACCTGTGAGGCTGTGACCAGGTCAGCCCCCATCTAGTCCCTACACGATATGAAAGGGGCCTCTGATCTGTGCCACCTCAGCCTCCCCATAGGGCCTGCCTCTCACGCCTCAGCCCTGTGGACAAGCCCTTTGGAGGATGATTAAGAATAAAAGCAGATCCTCTTCTCATACTGCCTCTGCTTTCTAGGAGGGCAAGCATTCCCAGAGTCCCAGGACAGGCTGTCCCCAGGGTACCCATGCCCTGAGCCCTGAGCCCCTGCTGCCTGCACTCAGGTACCACAGGACCCAGAGATCGGAAGGAATGAGTACAGGGACCTGTGGGCCAGCCGTGGGTCAGGCTCATGCACAGCAACTTAGACACACCATCTTGCTTAATCCTCAAACTCGGAGAATTGTCCCCAGGTTTACAGATGGGAAAACCAGAGCTCAGGGAAGTTAAATGACTTACCCACGGTCACATGACCTGTAAGGTCTGGAGTATTCAAAGTCACACCTGTCCAACTCCTAAAGGCCAAGATTTTCCACTGTGTCCCCCGACTCTGGATGAGTGTGTGAATTAAAAAGCAAATCAATAAGAAATTATAAAAGATGGAGTTGAGGAACAGGTAAGATGAGTTAAGCAGCATGCTGAGTGTAACTAGGTAAGTGGAGGGGAAGGGAAGGGAGTGGGGTGGCAGGGTGGGAAGGAGGCCACCTGAGGGACAGCCCCCATCACCCTGATGCTGGACCCCCTGCAGGTCATCGCTACCATCCCGACCAGCAGGCTCAAGTTCCTCAAGGAGGCAGGCAGGCTCACGCAGAAGGAGGAGATCCCAGAGGAGGAGCTCAATGAAGACGTGGAGGAGATAGACCACGCTGAGAGGGAGCTGCGGCGAGGCCAGATCCTGTGGTTCCGAGGCCTGAATCGAATCCAGACTCAGGTATAGGAGGCTCCCGGGGCTGGGCCCCACCTAGCCGGGGTGGGTGGGTGACAGAGATGGGCGTGCTCCATGCCACCCACAGGCCCACAGAGATGGGGCTCCAGCCCTGCTCTCACTACCTCACCAGGCTTTGGTACACCCATGCTCCCCACACACACACCCACATGGCTGCTAAAAAAGCTGTGGCCTTCTCAGGAACCTCCCATCTCACCCCTCACACCAGCAAGGGGTCAGACTGGGGGTCACACACATCATGGGTTTCCTGGGGGGGGATGCCTCGAAGTGGGGAGGGGGCCTGAGTGCTGAGGTGAGTGTGGGGCTCCAGTCTGGGTTGCAGGGCGGCCACCAAGAGGGGCAGTGCAGGGCTGGACACTAGTCCATGTGAGCCCAGGGCCAGCCCCAGATCCTCCCTGGCCTAGGGGTCAGCCTGTGAGGTCCAAGCATGCCTACACACATGTACGTGTCCTCCACAGGGCTTCCAGATATTGCCCTCCAGCCTCCGCCGAGGCATCAAGGCCACTCTGGGAGGAAAAGTTTGGTTTTCCCCATGCATACACAGACCCAAACATGCACACAAAGGGTACATACATGCCAAGCACATGAGTGGGATGGGTTTCTTCCCCTGGACAGAGACACGTGCCACATCCATGTGGCCCCCACGCACAGGCCGCACGCTCTCACACAGCCCTCTGCCCAGGCTGGAGTTATAGGTCACACTGTACGTTCACAGCCCTGTGGGAGGAGGGGCACAGGGGACCAGGAAACTAAGAGAGGGTGGGGTGGGTCTCATGCCCAGACTGCCGGGAAGAGCCGTCTGGGAAGTTCACAGCTGCCCCCATCACCCTGCCAGGCCTAGCACCCCACTCTAACAAAGAGTAAATCACCTGGGCTGCTTCACACCCCACAGGGCACTCCTGAACATCCTCTCATTGGCCTTCATAGTAGCCCCCCTCCAGCTTTAGGGGTGACCGAGGTTTAGGAGCCAACCCTCTTGGAGAGCTGGGGTGGGGAGCGGGGCAGGTGTCAGAGTCAGAGGCCCCCCCTTCCCTCCCGACACAGCCTGGGTTCTCCTCCACGACAAGGACCCAGCTTGCAGCCCTCTTAGCCAGCCCTCCCCAGGGCTCTGGGGCCCTCAGAGGGGCCTGGCGCCGAGCAGACGTCTTTCAGAGCCTTTGAGTGTGTCTAGTAGTCTTTGTTTGATTTAAGTCACGTCGTCGTCATCACCGTGGCTGCGGCTGTGCTCGTGGCGTTGCGCCTGTCAGTCGTGTAGCTGTGTGTCCGTTCTTCTCGCAACTTGTCTCGTTCTCTCCTCCGTTGCAGATTGAAGTAGTCAATACTTTCAAGAGCGGGGCCTCCTTTCAGGGGGCCCTGCGGAGACAGTCCTCCGTCACCAGCCAGAGCCAGGACGTAGCCAATCTCTCTAGCCCTAGTCGCGTGTCGTTGTCCAATGCTCTTTCCTCTCCGACCAGCCTTCCTCCTGCTGCAGCTGGGCGTGAGTGTGAATCCTTACTGCCTCGGGCGCCACCGACGCCAGTGCTGGGCGGGCAGGGGCCGGGGCACCAAGGACATGGGGCGGGGGGCGAGGGGCCACAGCCATCAAGGAGGGTCCCTGTTGGTCAGGAGAGTATAGCCAGTCACGGGGTGGCCATCACTTGGTGGGCCAGGGTTGGCTGGGGTCAGGGTCGGGGTTTTACCCCTTGGCCGGGGGGTCATGAAGGTCTCATGTGGCCAAAAAGGCTTGGGTGAGTCAAAGGATCGGCTTCTGGCCAGGGATTTCCCAGTAATCGAATGCTCCAGCCCCCCACTGGGTCACAGTGGCTGAGGGGGAGCAGTCAGCCTGCACGGCAAGGAGGAGACCCAATTAGTCTAGGGTTCCACTCCATCAGGAAGAGCCTGGCCCACCAGGGTAAGCTCAGAGTTGGCTGGGAGGGCAGAGTCTTACAGTCAGTTAGGTGAAGGGTTACCAAGGGTTAAGGCCATCAGGGGTCACAGTTAATCACAGTGGGGTCCAGCCAAAAGAGGGGCATTATTGTTCAGAGGTCCCAGTCCATGAGGGTCCCAGGCCACCAAGGAGATCACAGCCTAGAGGCCCCAGCCCCAGTAGTTCAGAACCCTCTGCCTTTTTCCCTTGTACATCTGATGGCACCAGTTGCCTTACACACACTCCTTTTCCCTGCACGCTGAAGGTCTGACCCCTTCCAGAAAGGCCAGGGCTCTTGACCCTTTCAGCTTGACCTCAGGCAGAAAACGGTGAACCATGCTTCACATCTTGGCTGGGCGCCAGCAGGCCCTGAGGGATCTGGTCTAACCCAGAGGTTTCCTGTCCTTCATCTGGAGGATAGCCAGGGACTCTGGCCTCCTCCATCTTCTCCCTCCTGCCAAGCTCACCTCCTCATGCCACCATTTCTGACTTGGATCTCTCGTCTCTGGCCTACCTAGATCTTTCTGAACCCCTCCATGCCTTCTGGCCCCAGCAGGAATAACCTGCCTCCCTGAACTTGTCTCCAGTCAGCCCCTCCCAAACTATAGGGGAACCCCTAGTTCTGGTCTCAGATTCCCACAATGTGTCTATTTCAGTCCTTCGGCTTTTGATGAGAGATAGGCTCAGGGCTTCACCTCTCCATATCTTATAAAGTGCCCGTACCCCCATCCAAACACAGTACACTCCACACACACATCCCCTACCACTGAGCAGGAGAGGACCTGCATGCCGGGTGGGAACTGGGCCATCTGAGCCCTCGGGCAGGAGACACCAGCCACAGAGAGCCTGTTGATGGCATATGCTCATATCCCATAACTGTTGAGTGGATGGATACAGCTCTGCCAGGTAGGCAGGATAACAGGGAGGATGCAGAAAGGGAAGAAAAGCCCTTCTGTGTTCATTCATTAGCACAAAAACCCAGCGATGAGGGGGCCAGACAAGCCAAGGTGAAATGGAGACCTAGTTGAGCAGATGGTGTCCAAGTCATGTCTCCATGCCTGTCATTGCCAGACTTTCTCAAGGCAGGAAACACATTGGTCCCATCCTCCTCCCCCTTACAGCAGAGAGCTTCACCGGCTGACCTACTCCTGCATCCACTTCGCTCTGGCCTTGCTCAGCACCACCACCTGTCTTGAAGTGTTCCAGGCTAGGGGTGCCTGGCTAGCTCAGTTGGTAGAGCATACAATTCTTGATCCTGGTTCGAGCATAAAGATCATTTTTAAAAACATGATGGGGGCGGTCCAGTCTGGAGAGCCACTGGGGAAAGAATCCATTTCTTTTGGCTCTTGCCATCCCTCTTGTTGACTCCCACATCCCTCTGGCTGTGTCTGACCTCTTTTGAGGCACGGTGCTCCACACTGGCCACAGCCAGAGCCCACCTGGGATTTCTGGGCACTCAGGCAACCTTTGGAAGTCTTCCCATGGCTTAGCCCCACACCTTAGCTCTCAGCCTAGAGAAAGAGCTCGGTCATCTCAAACCGGGGCAATATCATTCTCACCTTTTCTTCTGTCATTGATAAAACCATTCAATAAGACCAGTCGAGTGATAATTAGTTCTCAACACTCCCCCTTCAGAGAAACACCCATTCCCGCCCACCCTCCATTCTTTCCAAGGACCTAGAGGGACTGGTCAGGCATGACTCCTTCATCCAACTCCCTCATCTTGCCTCCTTGAGCATCTTGTATTCCTATCCTCTACCAGAGAATCCAGACTGTAATTTGGGTGTCTTGTGGGAACTTGACACCAGGTCAAGACAGCCAGGGGTACTAGTTCAAAATGGGATAGCAACCTCTATAGCTTTAACACACACATTTTGATCAATATAGTCAGAGTGTGAACTCTGAATAAATACCCCTAGTTCCTCCTTCACCTGAATTGTTGCTATAATGACAATACCTCCTCTGGTCTCCAAGGACTCTGAGGGCCCTCTGGTTACCAGGCAGGGTCCCTTCAGGAGTCAAAGGCTATTTTCTCACAGGGAGGTATGATGCCAGTAGTCAGGAGTAAGAGAAGGGGTCCGGCTTGGGTGGCATGGAGAAGTAGGCTGCCTCCTGCCTCCTCTGAGCAGCGTTTTCTTCCTGGGGATTCTCCAGCACAGGAGCGTGGCCATGTGCATGCTGAGTCCAAAATATCTGGAATCCGTATACCCTAGAATGAGTCAAACCACTGTCCCCTAGGTTGTCAGGAGTTGACCACCAAGGCCAGTGGTGGGGCAGTGTGTACTTGAGGCAGACTTCTGACTCATGACCGTGGGGTGAGGAGCCCCCCCAGCCAATCCCACCTCTGGCACCACTGTGAGATGGAGGCCCCAGGCAGACAGATGCATGTGGTGACATGACAGTCAGGTCAGACTTGCATCCAGAATGTTTGGGAGGGAACTCTGGTCCACTCTCTTTGCTTCCTCTTCTAACTGACTCAAGAGTGAGTTTGTTTTTTTCCCCCAGAAACTTAAAGGCATACTCCAAGGCCTTATACTTGAGCCTTACTCAACATTTTCCAAAGTAGGTCCCACATCCTTCACTACGCATATGCCTCACCAAGGAGATAGGAGGGAAGATCTGTCAATATACCCATTGCACTGAGAAAGACACTGAGGCTCAGAGAACTGGGCCGACGTGGCCATGATCACACAAGTAAGTGGCTAGGAGTCTGACTCCAAAGCGCCTCATTATTCCCACCATCCCACGTCACTTTCCAGACAAGCCCATAGCCCTGGAGCCTGCAGAGTTTGTTATATTTTTTCTTTTTTTTTTTTTAATTTTTATTTATTTATGATAGTCACAGAGACAGAGAGAGAGGGAGGCAGAGACACAGGCAGAGGGAGAAGCAGGCTCCATGCATCGGTAGCCCGATGTGGGATTCGATCCCGGGTCTCCAGGATCGCGCCCTGGGCCAAAGGCAGGCACCAAACCGCTGCGCCACCCAGGGATCCCAAGCCTGCAGAGTTTGAATTTCCATTCCAGAACCAGTGCCCATTCCCACAGCCTCACAAAGCGGAGAGGGGTCAACCCTCTGGAGTCTAGAAGGCCAGGAAAGCTGTTTCTCTGCTTGAATTTGTGCCAGCCTGGCCAGGACTGGGGAGAAGGGCACCTTCCCACTGGTGATCGAGGACAAAATTAGCATTCAGCTCTGTGACCCAAGGCCAAACTGCACTGCAACTCTTGCTCATGCCCCTCAAACTCCAAGCCATTTTTGTATTTAGCAAGTTTATAGCAGGCTCGGTGTTGGTCAGTGAAGGTCCTTCTCCTTCAAACCGACCATGCCGAGAACATCAGACACCTAACCCAGAACCAGCCGCTTTCTGGCCACTACCAGACAGGGGGCATCTCCTACTGCCACTTCTCACTTCCCTCATCACATCCGTGATTCTGAGGACTGCTAGGGCAAGGAGTTCGCATCTCTTAAGGGGAGAAATGGAGAAGGAAAGAAAACTGTACCTCTCATTAGCGTTTTGGTAACAAACTTAGCATAATCTTGGGTTGGCGAGATGGCTTGCTTCTGGGGTGGGGCCTAGACCTCTCCACTGTCTGAATATTCCATGTGTTTGTTTCCCTAGAGGGCTAGAGAACCCTGGAGACAGAGTTCAGCAAGAGAGAGTGAAATTAAAAGAGGTTGTGAGTCTTTAACCTTGAGCCTGAAATGAATGTGAATCAATCCCAGACTCTTGGCTTCCCTGAAGCCGGGTAAACATTCGAGTATGTCGAACCCGTCCCAGCCCGGGGCCGATGCAATCCCTCGAGCCATCCCACAGGGGCGTGGGTCTCCTGCTCCCTTTGTGCTGATCAAACCAGTGTCTGAAATCCCACAGATAGGATCCTTTTTCCCTCTCCCCTCACCCTGTACCCAAATGAAGCTTATGTCCCAGAATCTCACTTTAGGGTAGGCAGGGATGGGAGGGGGAAGAGCTTTTTTTCTTCCCATATTTTTTTCATTTCAGCCGCGGAGAGAACCGAAGTGGACACTTGAGATGACCATGGCGGGGTGTCCCGAAAAGTCTTGTCCCCACAGTCTTGTCCAGAGCAGTTCATTCTTTCTGTTGTCTCCATGCCAGGGGGAGGGCAAGGGGCCTGCATCTCATTGTGTGTCGTCCCCTCTGCATTTTCAGTCACATGACAGGATCCCGCCACCATCCCTCCTCCTCCACCAGGCGCTCCGGCCAGCACCTTATTGCAATACAGCCTCAGAACACACTGGGCACTAGGCTGGACAGTTACAATGATTCTTATTTCCATTTTACAGATAAGAAAACTGAGGCCCACCACACTTTTTTTGCTGTTTTAACTTAATCAAGGGTGTGGTGGTTTGCTCATCAGGAGATCAGAATATTTAATCATCCAGGGAGAAAGAGGCCTCAGAGCAAACAGCCGTTACGGAGTGCCAGCACTAATACACAGTGTCTGCTGGCACTTGCTTGGTGCCTGATGCCTCTCATTTAAAGCATGGTTCCAACAAGCAGGATCCCCTGGAGTCCCCAGCCCACAGCACCTAAGAAGGAAAAGAGACAGATATGCTTTTGAGAAAATAAGGAAAAGTCAGAGCGAGTAATGATGGCTGACAACAAAAGAGAGAATTTTTTTTAAAAAACATCAAAACTCAGGGGTCTTACAGAAGACCAAAAGAATTACTGACCAACTTAAATTCTTTGTGCACACTAAATCAAAAGGCAGAGGAGCATCTTGGGTGCTTTAGAAACACTTCCCTCTGAAATAGTAAGATAAACCCTTAGCTACGACACCTAAAACCATCAGACACAGTCATCTAGAAGATTCACTCCCACGGACAGGGCTTTCCCCACCCGTTTCCCACCAACCCAACACCCCTGGGCTTCGCTGAGAGTTCCACAAATCCTCGGACCACAAGAGCCCTGCTGATCCTCTGCCCTGCCTTCCCGCACCCTTGCAGCCCTGTGGTATGGAGGCAGCCCCTGCTCTGCAGGGAGAGCCAGGCAAGGCACCCTCGGCTCCACGGACAACTTGGCGAGGCTCTGCTCCTTGGAGGCGCTGATGCCGCCTCGTATTCCTCTGCCACTGCCTCCACTCTGAGTTGGATCTGGGAAGACAGGAGTGAAAACCTTTGCCCCCAAGTCCCATCTTCCCCTTGAGATGATAGGCACGGCTTCCCCCTCCCAGGAGTCTGGAGAAGGGACCCCTCTCTTCAACACGGGGGTCCTATTCCTCTGTATCCATGAGGCAGGACAGAGGACAGCCAGGGAGGCAGCGTGTCCTGCCCGTGGTCAAGGCACCAAAAGTGGCAGAGCCAGGACTCAGACTCAGGTCTTCCTCACTCCAAATCCAGTGCTCCTTCCACTAGCCTCCAACCTCCTTTCACTCTTCTGAGAACCACCACGGGTTCCGACTAAGACACAGAAAATGAAAGAGTGTGCTGTTTTGTGGCTTGGCTCCACACCCCTAGAATCCCACCCAGGGCTGGGTTTGGCCATCTGATTCTGGCCTCCCTTTTGGAGGTTTTGTGTTTTCAAAGCACAAATAAAGAAAATGCCCCAGGAAATAAGAGACCCCAAAGTCAATCACCTCCAATGACTGGCCAGGGCTTTGAGTCTATACTCGAGTGTTTACCTCCCAAATGCATGAAGGAAAGAAACGTTGGGTACAAAGACCTCCGTTCACATTGTCCAGGCTTCCAAGTGTAGCCGTGTGTCTGTCTGTGTGTGCTGTGTGGTTCCCAACCCCTCACCGTGGCATGCTCCCGCCCCTGAATGTCATCAGTCCGCCGGCTCCTTCGTGCTTTCTGGCTGCCTCTGCTCTGCACCCCAGAAAGCCCTGAGTTGGCTTTGGTTTGCTTTGCTGCTTCGGTTTGATGTTCTTGTCCTCTGGCCCTCGTGTGTCTTCTTCCGTCCCAGCTCATCCGACTGTCTCTCCTTTCTGTTCCTTCTCTGTTTCGTGACATGTTATCTGTTCCATGTTGTATGGTTTCTTAACTGCGTGTGGTTTTCTTAAGATTACTTTTCTAAAACTAGCCTCTCCTCCTTCCTCCTTTATTCCCACCTGGCCCCGCTCCCCTTCTGCATGGTTGGACTTCTGCTTTAAAGTTAACAAGGCTCAGTCTCTCACTAGGTCTGGGTGCCCGCCGGAGTGGACTATGCTTCCTCTAACCACTGGTTCCCACCATCTCTGTGATGGGGCTTGATTCCTCCTGTCCAAATGATACTGTAGTTCTGACCAAAACCAAAGCAGTTTCTAAAACCTCATGGACGCATATAACCTGAGCCCCCTCTTCCATTCTTCCCCCTCCTGCCCCTGCTCATAACACCCAGCGACTGTGGATTCCAGCCGCCCGCTGTGCCTCCCCCCTTCCCCCAGCCCCTTCTCCGAGCCCCCCCCCAAGCTTGGCTGCCCCCCCCCCAAGGCAGTGCTTCTCACCCCTGTGCTTCCCTTGCAGATTCGCGTCGTGAAGGCGTTCCGTAGCTCTCTCTATGAAGGTCTAGAAAAGCCTGAGTCTCGAACCTCCATCCATAATTTCATGGCTCACCCTGAATTCCGGATCGAAGATTCCCAGCCCCACATCCCCCTCATTGACGACACCGACCTGGAAGAAGATGCCGCGCTCAAGCAGAATTCGAGCCCGCCGTCATCGCTCAACAAGAACAACAGCGCCATCGACAGCGGGATCAACCTGACAACCGACACAAGCAAATCAGCTACCTCTTCAAGTCCAGGGAGTCCCATCCACAGCCTGGAGACGTCGCTTTAGCTGAGGACCCCCGCCGCCACCCACCCCCGGGCCCCACCCATCCAGGCACCCAGCTCACCCAAGCAGCAACGAGCAACAACAGGAAACCAAATACTGGCGAGAAAACCAACATTTCCCCCCCAAGAGACCCTTTTTCTGGCTGCGATGCTGTTTGAACTCTTTTTCACTTTGAGGCAAGGGGGCGGGGTCTCCCCGGGGGGTCCCCGGGAGTGAGCGATCTTCCCAGGACAAGCCCTCCCAGGCTCCCGCCCAAACATGGACCAGCCATGCACCCGCCAGGCCACCACGTCCCCTGCATGAATGTACTGTACACTTCCAGTCCTCCCCTTGTTTGGTGTGGGGGGGTCGGGGAGGGTTTTTTGTTTGTTTTCTTAGGCGGGAACTGCAAACAGACTCTTTTCTGAGACTATTTATCCAATCCACTGGTCTGTGAGTTTTTGAAAATGCTTGCGCAGCATGGTCTCAGTTGTATAGGTTAATTTAACAACTTTTTGAAACTGCAGAGCTTCACTCACCTAGTAAATTTGCACCAACGGAACCGAAGAACTTCATAGACACTCACAAGGTTATATCCATTTCTTTGTATCTATATCAACGTATACTTTTCCAAGACTGTATACGTCCATATAGATAGGTATATATATATATATATATATATATACACACACACGGATATATAAAGTTTTTTTTTTTTTTTTTGCCGGCATGTTGCCTTGTTTCCGCTTAAATTGCTCTATTTTAACTTATTTATGTCCTAAAACAAGAATGTAATTTGTTTACAAACCTGTAGATAACGTCTTTGGCTATTTGTACGGTTTAAGAACACTGGTGGCTGAGATGCTATAAAAACAGCTCAGCCCAACAGACACTTCCCCGGATTGCATCCTTGATGTTTTACAATAGCCATGCTCTGATTTTTGCCTGCTGTTTCCGTTCAATTATGTCACTACCACGGGAGGCCCAGACAGAAGCCAAACACTACCGAGTATCCATCCGGAAGGGGGTTAACACCGTGCTCCGTAGACAAGGGAGAGGAGGAGAGAAGGCTTCCTAGGTTCGTAGCGCTACCGGCCGGCGCAGCCCGAGGATCCGGGCGTCTGCCAAGCTTTGGTTGAAGACTTTTCTCTCGATGAAACTCGCTTGAGTTTACCAAGAGCATTTCAAAAAAAAGAGGTTCTCTTTGGCACTGTCTGTACAGAGGTTGAGGTAGTGTTGCAATATTATAAATGCTACTGTGTTGATTTTCTTTTTTCTTTTTTCTTTTTTTTTTTTTAGTAATTTAGAGGTTTATTTACTTATAAATTGCAGCGTATGAGCTGTTGGCATACTGGATGAGGATCATTATGGCTTGCTGCTTTTATTTTTATTTTTGAAGAAGAATAGCCTTTTTCTCTGCACTATTTAGATCCGAACGAACCTTATGATGTGTATATTGAGATGTATTCAGTGTGATTTTTTAAACCAAATTGTCTTCCTGTAGTCGCAATATATACTGTAGCCTTTCGACAGCAAGTCTTGCTTTCCCAGACAGAAAGCCATTCTGAAACCCTACAGTATCACAGGTGAGAAAAGGTGGTTAATTTCCCCCCAAGACAATAACAGCACTAGTAATCCCACTTAATGAGAGCTTATTTAATTGTACGTCAGCCTCTTAACTGCTAAGCACTTTGTGGGTATCAGCTTTTTTCATAAAAGAACTTTTGTATTTAATACAAAGTTTGCTTTGAGACTTTTCAGCATACAATCTTTTTCCATAAACTTGTACAGTGCAAAAGACATTTTGAATACCATGATCGATGACGTCCCATGCTTCAAGGAAAACCAAACACTTTCCACCTCGCTTGCGAAATGCGCTCCTCAGACTGACCCTTCCCATGGTTGCTCTGTGTCAGCTCGGCCCTTCCCCTCTCCAGGCCCAGAGAATTCTCCCACAAACAAGATGAGAGCCACTTGGGAAAAGAGCCATAGTCCGCTGGGAGGGCCTACGTCTGGGTGGCTGTGAAGGAACCTGAGGGTTTGGGATCCCAAGTCTGCCCATCCCACTTGGCAAACCTTCCTGGAAGGAGGACCTTCTGCGCGTGAGAGCATCCCCTGAATGTCGCAAAGGAGTATCTCTGAATGTACCCAGCAAAGGAAACTGCAACCCCAACAGGGTGACCAGCCCTCAGATATGCTTATTGGATTCCAATACAAACACCACCAAAAGCCAGCCCGCTGTTCTCCTGCCAGGAAAGGAAAGACCCACTCATGGAAAACATGGAGCAGCCTTGGAACATGGTGGTTTTTTGTTTTTGTTTTTGTTTTTTTGTAGTTTCCTTTCTCAAGGTTTCCCATATCCCCACCTTCTCTGTTCCAATCTTGTGTCCATGACCTCATTCCACAACACCAGGAGAGCCGCGTGTGCGCACCATGCTCCCTGTTCATTAGGAGCCAGGACACAGGGAAAACAGGAGGCTTTCTCTGAGCAGAGCTTAGCTTGGGGAACAGGGAGCAGTGGTAGAGTGACCGGGAACACCCGACCTTAGTGTTGGTCTTTTCTTGTCAGGAATGATGGATGCTCACACACACGCACGCACGCGCACACACACACACACACAGACACACACACAGGAAATGATTGGTTTGTCAAACCTCACCGTAGTACATAAAGCTTGCACTCTGCGTCCTATATCTAGCAGCATGGGGTACGTTTGGCAGTTCACCCCATTAGGGGGTAAATAATTTATGACCATTCATCTGTTTTTATGAATTTTTTTATCTAGACAATAATTGTAAATAAAGAACTCACCGTCTCTGTTCATTTAATACTATGCAATGGTTATGCTTTCAATTGCTGACTCTTCTTATTCCCGCAGTGTGGTTCTGAAATGTCTGTGGTTAAAAAAAAAAAAAAAGGCAAAAAAACAACATCAACCAGAACACAACAAATATATACTCTGTAATTTTTTTTTTCCAGTTTGGGACTGCACCATCCACTTAACTTCTTTTCTGTCCTCTGGACAAGGGCTTTAGAAGATAGCAGATTCATTCTGAGGTCTAAGCTCAACCACTTGTCTCCCCTCAACAGATGAGAGAAGAGCAGGGGGCACATTCAATGACCCCCAGGGATGAAGAATCACCCACCTGTGGAGGTGGGCAGGGAGGAACGTTTCCTCCCTGTGTCTCAGGCAGTGCTTTCCCTAACTCTGAAGCAGCCTCCATTGTTCCCACCAGTCCCTTGCCCCCTTGTCCCAACCAGAGCACAGGGTTGACAAGAGGGAGGGTGCCCTGCTTTTGAGACCAGACCAATGACAATGACAGTAGTGGGCCAAGGACTCTGGACCCATCTCAGCCTGGGTAGCCTACTTATTGAAGAGCTGCTCTCTTCCCAACCATGTTGAAATGCCACTTGTACCACATATTGATAGTTTATATAGATTTGGGTCTATTTCTGGAATTTCTCTTCTGTTCCCTTCTCTGGGTGTCTCATCTGGCACCAGCCATACAGTTCTAATTACTGTCATTTTATATAATGTTTTATCATGTGGAGGGATAAGTACCCTTCCCTCTTTTTTTTTTTTAAACGAAATTTCCTGATTATTGTCTCACAGCTATTCTTTTACGGAAACTTCACAATGTTGCCAAGTCTTCCACCACAACCCCCTGTCCTTCCCCCACCCCAAATCCTGGGCCCTGTCATTTTACTGGCAAAGGGCTTCCTGCCATTGTAAGCACTGTTCATTCAGGGTCACTAAATAGTGTTCCATAAGGAGAAACAAAAAGAACATTCTAAATCCTGGGGGAATGTTCCTCCCATGATCTCACCTGTACCCTAAGCAAGGTTGTCATCAGGAAAGGCCACCAAGCCCCACCCCCAGTCTCAGTTTAGGACTCAGTCACCCACCTTGGTTGTGCTGTGGTGGACCTTCCATCTGCCCCAGAAGAGGAAGAGAGGGCTCTCTCTCTCTCCCAGACCTGGAGCTACCAGAATGCATGGCCCAGTTGTCTATGTTCTAATTTTCTTCATGAAGAAACATTTATTCCTGTCTCCCTCTCCTGAACGAACTTTTTTATTTTTGTTGGGGGGGGGTCACTTCTTGTTCTTTATTCAGAGTTTATTCAGCGGTTGTGTAATAGGTCCTTTGGGATGCAGGAATTTCTTTCCCAGACCTTCAAACCACCCTGACTCCCCCTGCCCATCCCTGCTCTACTTAAGGGAGGCTGTCAGCTGGGTGCGCTGCAACGTGCCTCCCACCCTAAACTCTCTCCATAGTATCTGAGATCCCATGAGAAGATGGGAGGAGTGCATTTCTTGAAGGCTTTGGGTCTTCCAGAGCCAAGCCCTATCAAACAACAGCAGAAAATCCCCAGGTCTTTTACAGATTACAAAGCAAGCTGTCCAGATTGTGATGCAGAGATCCTACTCACCCTAGTAAAAGGAAGGGGATCCCAGGCCCTGGACATCACCTATCACCCCCTCCACCAAAAACAAGACCTTTGAGGCTGCTCTGGGACCTCCTCAGCCCCCTAAGTCTGTTTTGTAATGCCTGTGGTGCTCTCCCTCCGGACCTTTCCTCTTGGGGGTCGCCACACTCTGCTAACTCTTGTGTGCACATATTTTATAACAGAGTAGCGAGGAAATGGTGCCGCTCCAGCTTCCACAAGCTGCCCGGGCTCTGGGGGGCTCCGGGACAATCGGGGCTGGGAAGTGACTGTGCTCTTATTGTACACTCTTTATTTCTCTGTATCTCTGGCTTGTGCTCTTTGTAATTAATGGGATTTGTCTGCCTTTTCAACACTATCCTGAGCAATAACAATAAATGCACACGTGGAAACGCAGACACGGTACACATCACAAGGCCTTTTTCCGAAGGACAGCTGGGTCCCCGCCCTCTGTGGACTTGAACTCGGGAAAATGGAGTCCCTGGGAGGGAAAGGCACTTTGCCCAAGGGTGCACAGTTCAGTGGGTGGTCTCTCTCCTTCCACTGCGTCACACCTTTCAAACTTCCACCATTTAAGGGAGTAAGTTTAACCTGTCATGAGTCATTAACCTTCCATGAGCAACAGTGGACAGTCCCAGAGAGCAAGACTTTGGGGGAAGAGGCCTCAGGAGGAGAAGGAGGAGGAGGAAGAGATTTGGGGACAGAGGGTCTGGGAGGAAGGGGGCGTATATTGGGGAAAGCTAAGAATGGCCTGATGTGGGGGGTCTAGGATCAACTAGAACTGGAGGGAGCTGAAGGAAGATGGGGACAAAAGATGTAGGTGGCATCCCTTACTAGGGAGGGTGGAGGCAGAGGGGAGCCTGGCACCCTAAGAATCTGAACTTTGCAAACCTCTGCTGAGCATCAGCAGAAAACAAGAATGTGCCCAAACCAAGAGATGATCTCAATGTTGGTTCAAAGGTTGAGGGTTGCACATGTGCACCTTTCCCCATGGACACATACACACACACATACACACACTAAAGACTAGCCCTTGTCAGGGAGAACTGATCTTCAGATCAAGCACCATATAGGCCCATCGAACTTCCAAACAGTTTCACATCCCAGGATCCATTTACTCCCAACATATACCTTCAGCGTAGTATTATAATTTCCACTTAACAGACAAGGAGACAGCAGTTCAGAGAGATGAAGGGTATACCCACCTAGAAAGAAACAAGTCATGATCCTAGCCAGAAAGGATGCCAGAATTAGCATGTGAAACCTCTATATTACAGTGCCTTTCAGTCTCACCAGCAAATACCTTAATGAATAAGATACAATTGCATTGCTTGTCCCAAGTCCCCAATCTTTCCAACTTCGACGCCCATCCCAGGGAGTTCCTGTAATACCAACTATGCCCCATGCAGTATATTCGTATTATATTAAAAACGTGACTGTCCCCATTTTCCACTCGAGCAAAGCAAGGCTCAGAGAGAACTGATGCACCCAGAGAATCGGTGGTGCAGCTACAGATCCAAGGCCAGGGCTTGTCCCTTGAAGAACAGGAGACCCAAAAGCCCCACCTCCGCTGCCCCCTGCTCCACTTTTAAGTGCTATCCCCAACATCCCTGCAATATTTCTCCATCAGAGGGAAATAATCTTGAAAGCTGAGGTGAGGGTGAGAGGGTGGGCTGCTGTCTGGAGGCCCAGCTCTTAACTCGGAGACCCCACATCCTTGGCGCCCTCTCCAAAGCTCCTTGGTGGTCTAGGCCTATCACAGCCTCTGAGCCTTAACGTCTTCCTTCCAGCAGTGACCACCTCTAGCTAGGGACCTTCCACCCAGCGTCAGGAGAGAAACTGAGGGCTGGTGACTTACTCAAAGAGAGCCTGAGCTCCACCCGAGGCCCCTGGACTCCTTAACACCAGGAAGGGTCCAGGTCTGCCCCACCAGGTGTGGCTGAGGGGAGCTCCCAGGCTCCACCAGCTTTAGGACATTCTCATTGTGCCAGTGGGAAGCCCGGGACCTAAGGGCTGGGGACGCGGGGGGGGGGGGGGGGGGGTTAGCTCCTGGGCTCTAGCTGCAGAAACCCAGCTGAGATCCCACCCTGCCTGGGGCTTCTACTTCACAGGATCCCAAGACTGTGCGGAAGGGGCAGTTTGGAGGCCTCGGGTCCCGCGGTTTGGAGAGGGCACGGTGAAAGGGCTCAGCCTCCGGTAGCTGGCATTTCCTGGCCTTCTCTGCCCCTGGCCCCAGCTTTGGGTCCTGAGGTCCCAACAACAAGGAAGCACCAGGGCCAGTCTACCCACTACCCAAAAAATTACTCCTCCTACAATGTTCCTCTTAAGGCCGGTGGCACCCAGCTCTGCAGGGAGGCGGGTGAAGCTGCAGTTACGAGTCCTTCCTCTCGTGCATAGATCTCAGCAAAAGGGAGGGCCTGCTGGGAAGAGAAGATGGGCTAGAGCTCCCGACTCCAAGAGCCCCGGGATCAGAATCGCGCCAAAAACGGGAGCCCCGCCCCCTTTGGTCTCCCGCATTCCGCCGCAGAGGGGGCGGGGCCTCGGGAGGGCGGGGCGCCGCCCCGGAACGTTTGTGCGGGCGGAAGCGCGTTGCTACCCGGAGGCTCCAGCGCCACGGCCCGCCGGCCCGCCCGGCGCCGGAAGTGAGCTGTTCGGGGGCGCCGCCGGGAGCTGCCACGTCCGAGGCCGGGAGCTGCCGCCGTCGCAGCCATGGTGAGTGTGGGGGCAGAGCACGGGGCCCTCTCCCGGGTTCCCTGACCGTGCCCCGGGTAGAGCCGCGGCCTCGGCCGGTCAGCTCCCCCTCCGCCGCTTCGGGGCCTGCGGGGTTCTGGCCTCGCGCTCGGAACCCTTCGGAGGGGGAGGCCGGAGGAGGCCGCGGAAGCTCCGGGAACTCGGCCGGCCGAGCCGCCCCCGCGCCTCTCGCTGCTTCTTTTCTTTCTCTTCCCCCCGACAATTGAAAACAAAACCCAGAACACCGGGGGAGCTTCCGTACCCGAAACCCTTAGGAAGTTCCCAGCGTTGCTCGGGATCTGCAGCCCGCTAACGGCCCCGCAGAACAGGTGCTGCCCCGAGATGGACGCGCTACCAGTGAAGCTTGAGGTTCCGAGAGGCGAACCTAAGTGACCCAGCTGGGACGCGAACCCCGTGACCACCCCCCCTTGTACCGCCTCCCACCTGCCCCAGCAGAGGTGTGTGTGGACGTGAATGTAGGGCCCCGAAGTGTGACGGGCAGTTCAAGAACCTCATGTAAGGACGAGCTAAATTACTCTCTGGAGGTAGACTCGGGTTTTTACATCTCTAGTATCCGGTGTACAGTCATTCCTCATGGACTCACTGGGTGAATGCATGATAACTGATAAATAAAAGCGCGTCCCTGGAGCCTGCATGGGCAGGGGGTGGGGGGGTGCCGGGCTCAGGTAACCCGTGCTCAGGACAATGGGTGTGCCTGGGGTTTGAGGGAACCTTTGGGAACCGGAAGTCAGGACACTGGGTTTAGGGTCTTGCCCTGAAACTGCTCATCTCATTAGGCCCCTGATACTTCAGCCGCTGAGCAGAATCTATTATGCTCTGGGCGCCCCTGGTTGAGCGTCTGCCTTCGGCTCAGGGCGTGATCCCGGGGTCCCGGGATCGAGTCCTGCATCTGGCTCCCTACGTGGAGCCTGCTTCTCCCTCTGCCTGTGACTCTGCCCCTCTCTGTCTCTCTCATGAATAGATAAGTAAAATCCTTAAAAAATAATAATAACAATAATCTCTTAAGCTGATACTCAGCTCTCTCTAAATGAAATTTTAACTCTTCAACCAATTCTGAAGAGCTTAATTGTTTTAAGGGCACTGCCTCTTACTACTTAACAAGGATCAGACAATGTGAGGTGCTCAGGAGGGAGGACTTTTTTAGAAGGGAGATTTTATTTTTTTTATATTTTATTTTTATTTATTCATGAGAGACACAGAGGCAGAGACACAGGCAGAGAGAGAAGCAGGCTCCATGCAGGAGCCCAATGTGGGACTCGATCCCGGGACTCCAGGATCAGGCCCTGGGCCAAAGGCAGGTACTAAACCGCTGAGCCACCCAGGGATCCCCAAGAAGGGAGCTTTTAAAACACTTGTTCAGAAGTGTGGCTCACCAGTCCTGGCTGGTGGGTGAAAGTGATTAAAAATCCGTGCTAGTTAGTGACCTGGTATGAAACTACCAGGAAACTTTTCTTCCTGACTCTCCTTAGCCCTCAGCCATTGATTTAGAGAATTTAGTGTAACAACTACTTACTGTATGTTCTGGATAGGCAGCCTAGTGGAGTGGAAAGCTTTGTGAGCTGGGAATTAACAGGTCAGGCTATTTTCCAGCTCCACCTTTAACAATCTCTGTGACTTTAGCAAGTGCTCCCTCTTCTCTAGGCTCCTTCAGTTCCTTAGTTATCAGACGGCTTCAGTTAATTCTGCCCTTTGTCCTTCCTGGTGCATATGTGAAAGCCCTTTGTAACCTAGACTGCTTGGCAAGAGTAGGAGACGCTTCTCTTTTATCTTTCTTACTTGCTTTTGCAGACCTTGGAGGTCCACTTATTAGGGAGTCTCGAATTTGATGAGAGAACCTGTGCTTACTTGATATGTACCTTTTGAACTGCTTGGCAACTGTCTCCTCCAGTGTCTACTTCTCTGCGAAGTCAAATCAGACTTTATACTTGTAGGGCTTGTGCTGGAAAAAGATGAAATGGGGATGGTGGTAAGGAATACCAGTTCCAAACTGAAACCTCCCTTTCAGCCCTTTTCTATCCCGGGAGTTTAAAGAGTAAAACTGTCTGGTTTTGTTCGTTTATGTATTTATTCAGCAAGTAGTCACTGAGTTCCTTCTGGTTGCAGAACACTGTGCTGGTGATTTGAAAAGATTCAGAACTGTAGGTGACACAGACCCTGGGTCTGTTTTCAGAAAACAAAGAGTGTGAACTGTTGTGCTCTCAGTGCTTCAGATATTCAGAGGAGTTCAGCAAGTTGGAGAATCTGGGAACCTTCAAAACGGGCATAATTTGAGCTGGACCTTAAAGAGGAGTGAGAGGGTGAAGACCATGCAGCTGTGTTCCAACTCCCTAAGTTGTTCAACCCTGGATCCCAGTGGGTGACAGCCTAGAACCTGTCATAAGTGGTGGACCAGGGAGCTGTCCGCCTTGAATTGGTTCTCCAAGGCTTAGGTATTAACTTTTCTGCCCAAACTGCCTGTAAATCAGAAGCTCTGTCGTCCAGAAAAGGAACAACAGCCATAGATCCTCCAGCATCCTCCTTCACCCTCAGAGGTAGCCAAGACTGCTTGCCATTCTCCCCTCTTTGTTCATGTTATTGCCTCTGCTTGGACTGTATGTTTTCCCCCTGAGCCACCTGGTAAAGTCCTCATCATCTAAGTCCCAATTCATGTCTGCCACCACCAGTTCCTCAGGCTGCTGTAGTACATGTAAACTACTGTTAAAGTACCTATCTTTCCATGTTAGCATTACTTATGCGTGAGATTTTCAGGGGCAAGAAATATTTATTTGTGTCTGTATCTCCAGTCACTGACACGGTGCTTGGCAAAAAGAAGATACTTAAAGTAAATGTGTAATGAGTGAATGAACAAATGCAGTCAAGAACTTTAAAAATGACTGGTACGTTTAATAAGGTGATTGCGTTCTAACTGCCCTCTTCTTTTACCAACTATATCTTTGGTTCTAGGTGTCAGTAATTAACACTGTGGACACCTCCCATGAGGATATGATTGTAAGTATTCCTTTAGCCTTCTCTCACATGTGGGCATTTCAGTGCAGGGGAAGCTTTTCTGTTGATCATTCATGTATCTGGTGTGGCGTGGCACCCTGTAATCAAGCTGTAGCCTTAGCATATGGTCAGTCTCCCAGCCATGCCTGCCTGGTTGCCAGTACTGGGCATTCTGGTCACTCTGGTGGGAGAAACCTAGGAAAAGTTTATAGCTCAAGGCCCTCGGTCAGGCCAGCAATGTAACCTGCTCTGGGATGGAGGCTGAGCGGGTGTGAAAGTTTAACAGTAATCTTCCCACCTGCCTTCCTCATGCTGCCAGTGCTTAGCCCCACTGGAAAGGGGGCTGAAAGAAGAGAATGGGAAGGTAACTCAGTATAAAGGCAGAGAGCAGGCACAGCAAAAGCTCAGAGCACAGCCAGGTAGGACCACCACACACAGCAGGCCGGGCAAAGCCCTTTGAACCAGAAGTCATTAACTCAGGGCGTTTTCTAAGAGGCAAACACAGAGCTCAGTATCAGAGGGCAGAGTGGTGGGAGAAGGTCCAGAGGGTAAAGTCCCCAGAAGCAAAGATGCAGACTGCTTCATGCAGGGCCACGCAGTCCAGGCAGCCTTTGAGCAAGACCCTGGTCAGTCAGCTTACAGTGTTTCATCTCAGGGCTCCTGCCCACCAACAGTTGCTTTTTGTCTCCTGAGAGCCTGCCTGGTCTTCACAGTTGTATATGTTTCCTGGATGCAGTCTAACCATACCTCTTTGGAGACAATGTGGTACCTTGGGTAAGAAAATCCAATCTGTGACCCCCTGGCCAATTTCTTAACTCTTCTGAGCCAGCCTTGATTTCCTCATAGCTAAAATGGGGGAAATGATGGAAATGCTACCTAGGTTGGATTTGAGAAACAGATGAGGCCAAGTAGTAACAGCTGATGCCTACATGTTCACTAAGTGTCATACCCCATGCTATATACTTTTTGTTCAGTATCTCATTGAACCTTCATAACAACCCTTAAAGCAGATGCCATCATTAGCCCCATTTAAAGAGAAGGAAAGTGAGGTTCAAGGAGATTATGTAAGATTTTCCAAGGTTGCACAGCAGTAAGGTAAGGAGATAGGATTCAACTCTTTTAGGTACTATGCCCTACTTCTTTCCAAAGTGTGTGATAGCACCCTGCAGGAGAAGTACCTAAGAAATCTATTTTAACGTTTGCATTGCTTGTCTTCCAAGAAGCCAAGACCTAGAATAGTGGAGAGGATTGACTTCCAAAGAAGAACCAGGATGTTTTTCTCAGGTAGGGAGATGAGGAAGGAACGTTGAAGCAAACCGAATGACTGCTTGTTGAGAGGGTATTGATTGTTCCTGAACACCGTAGGAGTGGCAGCTGATAGTCTCTAAATCCCCAAGGTAAGACAGCTGAGGAAGGTGCCATCTGTAGGAATAGGCAGCAGATAGGAAGGACTAGGATATTCAGTGGGACAACAGGCATTGTGGTCCAGAGGAACAAGATAGATAAGAGCTGTGGGCAGGGACATGGCCAGTTAGCATCCAGAAGGTCGGTTCATCAGTGGTGGGACTAGTGACATCTAAGGCATGGATGGAGAGTCTGGGGTACTGGGCACACTCCTAGGGAAAAAGGTCTTATAAAAATCTAGGAACAAAGGTCCACAAAGGATCTAGGGCCGCAGGTGGAGGAAGAAGGCCAAATGTCTGAATAGAACCCTGTATCCAGGGCAGCCCAGGTGGCTCCGTGGTTTAACAACGCCTTCAGCCCAGGGCGTGATCCTGGAGACCGGAATCAAGTCCCACGTCAGGCGCCCTGCATGAAGCCTGCTTCTCTCTCTGCCTGTGCCTTTGCTTTTCTCTCTCTGTCTCTCTCATGAATGAATAAATAAAATCTTTTTTTTTTTTAATTTTTATTTATTTATGATAGTCACACACACAGAGAGAGAGAGAGAGAGAGGCAGAGACATAGGCAGAGGGAGAAGCAGGCTCCATGCACCGGGAGCCCGACGTGGGACTCGATCCTGGGCCTCCAGGATCGCGCCCTGGGCCAAAGGCAGGCGCTAAACCGCTGCGCCACCCAGGGATCCCTGAATAAATAAAATCTTAAAAAAAAAAAAAAAAAAAAAAAGAGCCTTGTATCCAGGCCAGATGTGCATTATGGAGGACCTCACTGGGCCCCACAGGCACTCAGAGGCTGCTCCTTTGCATCAGCATTAGCCCTGGGTTCTGGGGCTGAGCTGAACCTCTGGGTGTCTTCCCCAGTAGACCATAGCGCCTCAGAACAGGGTGGGGCCTGAGGAAGGAAGAAGAAAAGGGAGGCTAGATAGCCAGTGTTTTGTCTCCCATACCCACCCTACAGAATAGGGTTGGAAACGACTTCCCCTGTGTATGTAAAGAGCCTGAAAGCAGCTAGGTATGGTTTTTCTGGTCCCTTTCAGAATGACATTGCTGTCAGAGAAATGAGAATGTAGAGATGCTAGCTTGTTGCCTGATAGTGATGCTGCTTTGAGATTAGATTAATATCCGGTAAACTCTGATCCAAACTAGACTCTGTCCTGGTGACTGTCCTACCCTACCCCACCCTCATCCGCCCAGCCTGCAGGCTTCCCAAGCTATCCTCCCTTTGCAGCACGATGCCCAGATGGACTACTATGGCACCCGCCTGGCAACCTGCTCCTCAGACAGGTCCGTCAAAATCTTCGATGTGCGAAATGGAGGACAGATCCTCATTGCCGACCTCAGAGGGTAAGTGCAGGCAAGTCTGGGCGAGGTCTCAGAATGGCTGAGCTTCTCAGGCATGGCAGGAAAAGCTGAGGACCCAAATCAAAGGAGCCCCACAGTGCAGTTAGCAGAGAAGATACCTAGATCCCAGCTAGGCAGCCGTTCTCAACAGACATTCCAGGCTGATGGATCCAGGATGAATCTCAACTTTGCCGTCCAAAAACCTACCAGAAGACCTTGGGTAAGAGTCAGTCAGCCTCTTGGAGACTTCACCTCCTCACCCTCAAAATGGGCCGTTGCTGCTGCCTCCCAGGTGGAGCCTGCTCACAGCATGCCTTCAGTAGCTGCTGTTACTTTTAAAAGTGGAAAGAACATTTTTTTAAATTTAGCCAACAAGATCTAAAGTATCACTCAAAGGCAATAATGTTTATGTAAGAATGCATTAGTAATTATGTAAGTTCTATAATTTTACCTATTTGCCTGCCCATAGCAGATATTCAGTGAATATTTACAAATGTTTGATTTCCCCTCTCCCTTCTAAGATTCTTGAGATCCTGGCTCATTTTTATGGCTACATCCCTACTACTATCCCTCAGTCCACTACATTTCAAATAAATGGGAATTCTTAACCTGAGTTCCACAGATCTCCAACGGTTTTGTGGATAGAATTCAGGGACTGGTGAACTGGGGCTGAGATAAAAAAAAGAAAAAAATCACATCTTTATTGTCAGTGACTCATATTTAGCATTTCCTTCAATGATGGATTTAGGCTAGAAACCACAGCAGTATTCAGAACACCTGTAACTTTGTTACCAGTAGAAGACACAGATATCTTTATAGCACATTCCAGTTACAGCTGTCTCAAAGTAGCATTTAGGCTCATCACTACTTTGAGATGAGAGTGGTTATTAGACCTCCCACTCGAGTTTGTTAATGTGCTAACAAAGAAGTACATGTATCATGATGTTATAAATCCTTCTTCAACATTTCACTAACTGTATTTCATTTAATTGGATTTCCTTTATAATTCTAGCTCTGTATATTGTATCCATTATTCTGAGAAGGGACCAAAGCCTTCAGACTGCACAGGAGAAATTAACCTTGATGAATAGGAGTTCAGTACACATTTGGTAACTGAATTAAAGAAGGCATAACTAAGTAGTCATCTGGGGAGACGGAGTCCCCCTCTTCTTGAGTCAAAAACTGAGTGACTGAGCGGTCAGATGCTACTTGTGCAGCAGGAGCAGCCCCAGGCTGTGCAGAGAGCTGCCTGGCACCGGCACTGGCAGAGGCAATCGCATCTGCTGTTACTTGGCCCTTTCTTCTGCCCTCTTTTTCTCATGCTTTAAATGATGTACGATATTAGAGGGATAGAAAAGATTCACACCTCCTCCCTTTTTTTTGCCTCAGTTGAACTGCTAGTTATAGGACATTTGTATCTCTTCCGAGTTTCCTTGGCAGCTATTTTGTGGGGCCTGGAAATTGTCCCAGCCAGAAAGAGGAGGACACATTGAGTGTCTGCAGCCCTGGGGTAGAGGAGTGAACAAAGAACAGCAACAGCAGCTGACAGGCATGAGTGGTTTTTCCTTTTCTTGTGCCCAGCATTGTTCAAGCTTTTTATGTGAGTTATCACACATATTTCCCCCTCATGAGCACACTGTGAAAGAAGTCTTGCTGGTATCTCCATTGGGAGACTAAGCCACAGAAAAGACATGACCCTTACCTAAAGTCAAGCAGCTAGGGAATGGGGAGTGGGGGTGGAAAAGCCTGGGCCATCACCTCTCTGCCTTGTTGCTTCTTGTGTGCTGGGTGCCCACCCTTCCCTGCACCTCAGAGACAGCCCCAGTACAGAGCCCAGCACCAGGTATGTGCTCAGATATTACTGACCAGGTGAATGCATAAAGATCAGAAGAACAATTTACTCTACAAACACCTCTGAGCAGTTGTAGGTACAAACCCTGGATTGATTGGTGCACAAATGAATAGGCTGAGAGGCTTCTGATGATGGCAGACGTAGGTGGTACTGGCTACACTGTGGGACAAGGGAGGGTTATGGCAGGTCAGGATAGAGAAGCTGAGTTAAAGTCCTGACTTACTTTCAAAGCCCCTGGGCCTCAGGACCTTTACTGCCCAACAAAGGTCCCTTTTGGCAGTGACATCCTATAGCTCTCCGTTAACAAAATTCTTAGGCAACTCTGTCCTGAGATACTGTATCTGCCTACCAAGAAAGCCATTCAGTTCAGTCCAGAGTAGTGGCTAGCAGAGCACCGCAGGTTCCTGTGACCCATCTGAGCAGCCTCTGACCCTGTCTGTCCCCTTGTAGTCACGAGGGTCCTGTGTGGCAAGTGGCCTGGGCCCACCCCATGTATGGCAACATCCTGGCATCCTGCTCCTATGACCGGAAAGTCATTATCTGGAAGGAGGAAAATGGCACCTGGGAGAAGACACACGAGCACACAGGACATGACTCCTCAGGTACAGTGAGTGTAGTGGGAGCAGGTGGGTGGGGCCTTGTATTCCTTTCCCTTGTGATGCTCCTCCTTTGTCCCTTGGGTTTGGTTGGCTTTTCTGCTGTCTACAGCAGAGGTAAGGCCCTAGGACCTAAAGACAATTTCAAGCGAAAGAAGAAAAGGAAAAAACAGTAAGTTTTTAAAAAAATTTATTCATTTAAAGTACTGGCCTTTATTCTCAGATTACTTTCTATCTGCTTTTATTCCCCTGGGTTTATTAATTTATTTTTATCAACATACAGTGTTACATTGGTTTCAAGTGTATATTATACTGACTTGATATTTCTGTCCATTACGCTCATCACAGTAACTATACTCTTAATCCCCTTTATCTATTTCACCCCATCTTGCTTTTTGTTAGATGGTAGTTTATGAAATTATTATATTCATGGATGATGAGCTTTTTAAGTCTCCTTAATTGACAAAATTAAAACTTCCTCCTAGTGATCCCTGCAATTTTATTTTTCAAATTTAGTAAAATGATAAACCTGGGAAACAAAGTCTGCTAACTATGCCTCTCTCCTTCCTGCAGTAAACTCTGTGTGCTGGGCCCCCCATGACTATGGCCTAATACTGGCCTGTGGGAGCTCAGATGGGGCCATCTCCCTGCTGACATACACCGGAGAGGGCCAGTGGGAAGTAAAGAAGATCAACAATGCTCATACTGTAAGTCTGGACCTTGCCTGTGCATGGAGTGTGCTTTTGTTGCCTTGCTATGTGTCTCCTGGAGACTCTTGAGAGAGTGGCAGGAGTAGCATCACTGCTGTGCAGGAGGCTGGGGAGGGAATGATGCTTAGACGTGCTTGGTGGGTCAGTTTTGAGCCTCTTTAGCTCTGAAGCCAGACAGAGGCTGCATGCAGGGAGGCCAGGCTGTACCAGCCTCATTCGGCCCAGGGCAGGGATTGGTACAGGTTCCTCTTAGCAAGCTCCCAAACCAGGCAGGGCCAGGACCTTGGCAAGGTGGCAGCAGTAGCCTGTCTTCCTGCTGCCTTTGCTATGGACACCCCAAGTTGACATGTTTACAGTGGTCATTGGGACCCCCAGAACTGAGTAGTGTTATAAAGAACATCCTAGTAATTCAGTTCCTTGCACTTCAGTCATTAGATATTATGGCTAAAATAGTCCAGAAAGCACTATAGACAGTAAAGAATCTCTCACAGTACTTAACCCTTACTGTGTGTCATGTAATCCTTACAAGTGTCTGTAAATGAAAGAAGAAGCTACCAAGTGTATAGGCATGCAAGTAAGCCATTCTGTTCCCATTTTATGGCAAGACAGATGAGGGTCAGAAAAAGAAAATGATTTAGAGAAGGTCCTGTGCCAGAGTTAGAACCCAGATTCTGTATACCTTCTCACTATACAACAGTTCCAGCTTTGGTGGCCCCAAACATTTCTGAAATCTACCCAGATGGAAACCTAGTAGCTCCCAAGCTTTATGCTGTACTTGGGTACTTCTCGAATTCAGGGGATCCATAGACTGTCCAGCCCCTAGAACCCCCAAGAGCCTGTCTCAGAGTGTTTACTTAAGGTACTCAGATTCCCATCTGCTGACTAACTTGCAAAAATGAGTAGGCTGAGAGACTTCTGAGAAGATGGTACGGAGTGGCATCACAGCTTTTCAGTCTTTCCTCATCTCTGTAAAAACCCAACAGAGCAGCTAGAGAGCACAACCAAAACTTCACGAGCATTTACAATAAAACTAGGTAACAAGATATTTCCACAAACTCCAAAATAGAAGCAGAGAGGAATAAACCAACAACCACAAAACTGCATGGTATTGGTTATCTGAGCAGGAAGAAGCAATAAGGTGCCTTCTGACAGACCTGAGAAGGAGAATATTGCCAAAATAGCCAGCAGGGAGGGGATCCCTGGGTGGCTCAGCGGTTGGGCGCCGCCTTTGGCCTAGAGCGTGATCCTGGAGTCCCGGAATCGAGTCCCATATCGGGCTCCCTGTGTGGAGCCTGCTTCTCCCCTCTGCCTGTGTCTCTGCCTCTCTCTGTGTGTCTCTCATGAATAAACAAATAAAATCTTTAAAAAAAAAAAAAAAAGCAGTAAGTGAAGTTTTAGGATTTCTTTTGCTTTTAACCATTTTTTAAAACTAATATACCATTGACTTATAAAATTCACCCTTTATAAAGTATATAGTTCTGTAAGTTTTAGTCACATTCACAAAGTGTGCAACTATCACTGCTAATTTTCTGAACTTTTTCCTCCCCCCAAAAAGAATGCTCATTAGCAGTCACTCTCCACCCTGCCTCCTACCTAGGCAGCTGCTAATTTACTTTCTGTCTGTATGGATTGGCCTATTGGCAATGTTTCCTCGGAGTGGTATCCTACAACACAGATATACCTCAGAGCTGTGGTGGGTTTGGTTCCAGACTATTGCAATAAAGGGAGACAGGAATTTTTTGGTTTCCCAGTGCATATAAAAGTTATATTTACACTGTCTTACAAGTCTCTTAAGTATGCAGTTATAGCATTGAGTCTTAAAAACATACCTTAATTAAAATTTATTCTGTTGCCGAAAGATACTTAGCATTATCAGAGTGGTCATCGAGTTGTAATATTCTTTTTGCTACTGGAGGGTTTTGTCTGATTGCTAATGGCTGCTGACTGATAAGACCACATTGAAGTTTCCTGCATCAGTTGACTCTTCCTTTCACAAATGATTTCTCTGTAGCATGCAGTGCTGTTTGATATCATTTTACCTGCACTAGAACTTTCAGAATTGTAGTCAGTCCTCTCAAACCCTTCTGCTGCTTTATCTGCAAAATGTATGTAATATTGTAAATCTTTTGTTGTCATTTCACCAGTCTTCGCAGCATCTTCAGGAGTAGATTCCATCCCAAGAAACTCTTTTTTTTTTTTTCTTAAGATTTTATTTATTTATTCATGAGAGAGGCAGAGAGAGAAGCAGGCTCCATGCAGGGAGTCCAGTGTGGGACTCGATCCTGTGACTTCAGGATCAGGCCCTGAGCCAAAGGCAGACGCTTAACCACTGAGCCACCCAGGTGCCCCAAGAAACCTACTTTCTTTGCTCATCTATAAGAAGCAGTTCCTCATCTTGTTAAAGTTTGATCATGAGATTACAGCAATTTAGTCACATCTTCAGTCTCCACTTCTTATTCTGGTTCCTTTTGCACCACATCTGCAGTTATGTCCTCCCCTGAAGTCTTGAACACAGTCATCCATGAGGGTGGGAATCAACTTCTTATAAACTCCTATTCGTGCTTATATTTTGGCCTCTTCCCATGAATCACAAATGTTAATGGCGTCTAGATTGGTGAATCCTCTCCACAAGGTTTTCACTTTGCCCAGATCCAAAGGAATCACAATGGCAGTTATAACCATATTATAATAACTATTAAATTATAAGTCTCGAAGGTAGAAACTACTCCTTAATCCTTGAAAATTGCTGAATGGATATTGTGTTAGCAGGCATAAAAATGACAATGTCATTGTATGTCTCCCATCAGGGCTATTGGGTGACCAGATGTATTTTCAGTGAGCAGTTAACATTTTAAAGGAGTCTTTGAGCAGGAAGTCTCAACAGTGGGCTTAAAATATTCAGTAAACCACATTGTAAACAGATGTGCTGTCATCCAGGCTTTGTTCTTCCATTTAAAGATGACAAGCAGAGGAGATTTAGCATGATTTTTAAGGGTCCTGGGATTATCTGGATGGCAGATGGCTTCAACTTCAAGTCACCAGCTGCATTATCCCCTAACAAGAAAGTCAGCCTGTCCTTTGAAGCTCTGAAGCCAGGCAAATCCTAGGTGACATCTTCCAATAGAAGACCATTTCATCTACATTGAAAATCTGCTATGTAGTGTAACCACCTTCATTAATGATCTCAGCTAGATCTTCTGAATGACTTGCTGCAGCTTTTCTATCAGCACTTGCTGCTTCACCTTGCTCTTTTATGTAATAGAGCGTTTCTTTCCTTACACCTCATGAACTACCTCTGCTAGCTTCAGATATCTCTTAGCGGAACTTGCTCATCTCTCTCCTTCAAAGAATTGAAGAAAGTTAAGGCCTTGCCTCCATTAGGCTCTGGCTAAAGGGATGTTGTGGCTGGTGTGATCTTCTCTCCAGACCACTAAAACCTTCTCCATATCAGCCATGAGGTTGTGTTGCTTTCTTTCTTGTGTGTTCATTGGAATAGCACTTTTAATTTCCTTCAAGAATTTTTCCTTTGCTTTCACAACTTGGCTGTTCAGTGCAAGAGGCCTAGCTTTTTTGGTCTATCTCAGCTTTTGACATGCCTTCCTCACTAAGATGATTTATTTCTGGCTTTTGATTTAGAAAGATATGAGACTCTTCCTTTTGAACACTTAGAGGCCATTGTATGGTTATTAATTGGCCTAATTTCAGTATTATTGTCCTTCATGGGGTAGGGAGACCCAAGGAGAGGGCAATTGATGGGATAACAGCCAGTCAGTGGAGCAGTCAGAACACATACAACATCAGATAAGCTTGCCTTTTTATATGGATGTAATTCATGGCGCCCCAAAACAACTGCAGTAGTAACATCAAAGATTGCTGATCACAGATCACTGTAATGAATAAGCTTGAAATAGTGTGAGAATTACCAGAATGTGAACAGAGACACAAAATTGACAAATGTTGGAGAAATGGCACCAGTAGACTTGCTTGACAGGAAGTTGCCAGACACCTTCAATTTGAAAAAAAAAAAAAAAATACAGTAACAGTGAAGCTAAGTGAAGCACAATTGAATGAAGTATGCCTATATGTGGCCTTTTGTGACTGGCTTCTTAACATGTTTTCAAGGTTCATGTCATGGTGTGTATCAGTGCTTTATACCTTTTTCTGGCTTTTTGATATTCTGGCATGTGAATTTAGATATTTTGTTGAGTCACTTATTGGTTAATAGACATCTACAGCCATTATGCATAATGCTGCTATGAACATTCATGTCTGTTTTTTTGTGAGTATATGTTTTTAATTTTCTTGGGTATATACCTAGGAGTAGAATTACTAAGTCAGGTGGAAAGTCTCTGTTTAACTTTTCTTTTTTTTTATTTTTATTTTTATTTAGTTATGATAGTCACAGAGAGAGAGGGAGAGAGGCAGAGACGTAGGCAGAGGGAGAAGCAGGCTCCATGCACCGGGAGCCTGACAAGGGACTCGATCCCTGGTCTCCAGGATCATGCCCTGGGCCAAAGTCAGGCGCCAAGCCGCTGCACCACCCAGGGATCCCTCTGTTTAACTTTTTTGGGATATTGCTAAACTGCTTTCCAAGTTAATTGTACCATTTTACATGGCTTCCAGGATCCTTGCCAACTCTTGTCATGGTTAGGTTTGGGTTTGGCTTTTTTTTTTTTTTTTTTTTTTTTTTGGTTATAGCCATCCAAGTGGGTGCGAAGTGGTACCTCATTGTGGCTTCAATATGAATTTCTCTAACAACTAATATTGGGCACATTTTCACATGCTCACTGGCTATCTGTATTATCTTTGGAGAACTGACCAGGAGGAGTTTTGTACCATATTATATCAGGTGGGTGCAGGCCACCCACCCTCAGAAAGACTAAAGGGGCTTGTAGAAATCTGACCTTTATAACCCATCAGGGCTTGCTTCTGTAACAAAGTTTTTTGCTTCTCCTCACAAAGTTCTCTTGTGAGGAGGAGAAACTGCTGGGAGTGAA